CAGGATATGATATGTGAAGTGTTATTGTTGTTTCTTGTGACAGGTCTTGAGCAACATTGTGGACCGTACTGTGGAATTCTTCTATTGGCTGTTGCTGGTGTCTCTCTCAGTGTGAATGTCTTGTACACAATCTACGTGGTGTTCCTTTGGTATGTATGTTATTACAGTGGATTATATTTTTTTGTAAAAGCTCTGCTGATGAATAGCAATGTTGCTTTTAGAAAATATTGAATATGTACTTTTATTTTTCTTTCTCCTCAAAGTAAAAGAAGAAAGAGTGTGAAGCCAAAAGAAGAGGAGAGGACTTACATGTCTTTGGATCGTAGAGACACATCTCCAGAGTATGATGTCATTGCCCAAACTCCAAAATGACTCCCTCTACTTCCACTGATGATGAGCTTGATGATTATCACATAACAATGCTTAATGATTTATTGTATATCTTATACTGAGGCAAAAGCTCATCCTTCATCACCTTGCTCTCTCTTGCAGTGCCTTAAACTTCCACTTAGTGATATCAGTGTTTATGTATCAATTATCTAACATTGAACAACTATACAATGTAATGTAAATAAATACTTTCTATATGAATCTTCTAATGCTCGCTTTTGTAGAAATGTTTTAAACTTCAACAGAAAGGTTATTGATTATGCTATATGGTCATTTTTAGGTACTGAGGTTTTCATGTTTGTTGGTGTACATATGTATGGTATACATAATGTTGTGTCTCGTCAAGTGTGTTAATTTTAGTCATGTTCATGTTTAGTGTTTCATGTTTAGTCCTTCCTGTTTTATTTTGTACTCACCTTTTCCCTCACATTTCAGACCCTGACTTCCTCCCTTTGTGTGATTTTCCCTTCTTTGTAATTTTCTGCCCCGCCCCTGATTGTTTTCACCTGTTTTCACTTACACCTGGTATATATAGTCCTTGTCTCCCTTTGTCTTTGTCAGTTTGTCTTGTTCAGATTGTGAAAAGTATTGTCATGTGTTCCAGCCATAGTTTTTTTATGTTTCGATTAAGGTTTGTTTGAAGTTTTTATCCTTGTTGTGAGCGCCTTTTGTTTTCTTCTTTTTTCAACAATAAATAAACAATAAATACCCCTTTTGTACATCTTCGTCAGTCCCTGAATCGTGCGTTTGAGTCCACCAGAATTGTGTCTGAGGTTGTGACACGTACATGTCTTTCTCATGAATAAGAGGACAGGATTTACAGGACACTGGATCGAAGAGATGAGTCTCAGAAACAGACGTTGTCAACATCCACTGAGTGCTTTGTTGATTGTTTGACAATGACACTGAAATATTTCTGAACAAAATATTAGACCATTGTTCATTTCCTGTTTGTTCCCTGGTCCAAACAGTAATTGTCTTTTAAAGCATGACCACAATTATTGTTACATAACTTCAACCATACATTTGTTTATTGTAATTTGTAATTTTAAACTGTTTCAGAAGGCTCAGACAAATGTTGTCTACCTGTCGATAGTAGACTTGTTGTAATACTATTTTGAATATCAACTAGAATTATCAGTGTGTCTGAACCCCTATTTGCTACAATAGGTGAGTACAATAACATGAGCACAATGTAATGTAAATAGCACTGTAGAGATAGTAGCTTTGAAGGGGTTATACTGCTTAATTATTGGTGAAACTGGATCACAGAGGTATTCACTTAACTTTGTGCTCATTTGAGTGTGTGGTGGTTTTATTTTGCACTCTGTTATATGTTTGGTTGTAAATTTGTCTTTTACATACAATACATACATATAGAGACCATGTACGTTAACAACACGGCAAACGACTGCATCAGCTATCACTGAACTGAATGAACATTCAATATGACATTCAATAAAAAAAGGTTCATACATACTGAACTGAACTCGACTCAATTAGATGATAAAATGTCTGTGTGCATATGACTGTGTCTGCCTCCCTTATCCCTTATCTGACGTGTGACTGTTAAAAAACATTTCTTGAAACAATTACAATTAAATATTTATTCATAAACTTATTTATAATAATTTGTAAGCTATATATGTTTCCCATAGTAAGTAAGAAAAAGTACACTTCATTGTTACATGAATCTGCACTTTTGTGACTTCCTCATTTTAAAGTTAATTCTTGCATTCTGTTGGAAACAGCAGCACAACTTTGAAGGAACTTCACTTCTCTATACATCTTTGATCTGTCTACCTGGAAAACCTGAAGACAATGTAAGTCATCATAACTTCTACATGACACATATTACATCATCAACATTTTTTTAAATGTACTATAAAATTCTAAAAATATAAACATGAGGTTACTTTGCTCTCAACAATTACAGGGCAAAATTTCAAAGGTAGAAAAAAGAAAAGACACTAAATATGTGAAAGGTGGCAAAATCGTCCGATTGTGGTTTAAGAATGTTGAAACTAATTCTCTCAAATAAATTGTAACTTTGTAAATAAACTGAAAAAAAAGACATAGTATGTTTGTCATTTTTTTCTTTCACAAAACAGCATAGCTTCCTGTTTTTCATTTTTATTATCTATTAATTTTCTACGTCTTTTTTAACCAAAGCAGCATGTTGTAGCACTGAACTGAATGTTACAAAGTGTGGGTATTGATTAGACCTTGATTGAAGTATTGATTAATTTAACTGTTCAATTATAGTTTTTAAAGGAATGCAGTTATACGTCCCCTTATTCCTCTACGAATGATAAATAGGTGTGCTGTGTCACCGTGACCTCATGAAATGAAGAAACAGATCCGGATTGCAAAACGTTTCTTTGTCTGCAACCTCCACAAATATTAAATTAAATACTGGCTTCCAGGTGAACCCTACTGTAAAAATTAATGAGGGATGAAATGTACTAAAGATGTGAATTGTTCCATGTGTAATCTCCAGAGTTTCTGCCTCTCCTGACACACAAAGATGGCTGCAGCTCTGACTCTCCTTCTCATTGGCTGTCTGCTGCAGAGTGAGTTAAAGTTCATTCATATTTGGATCAATGACTATAAAACTATTAAAACCTATATCTACGCACTGTTAGTTAAGCATTCACACCACAGAACAGCAGTATCTTTGATACATGGTTCACTAAATACATTTGATGAGTGAACAATTTTATTCATCTCGAAAAAATCTTTACAGTCTTCATTTTGGATTATTTTATGAATAAAGGTATAGCGCTAAGATTCTAGCACGGCAACCAAACAGTCAAATTTCCTTCTTATTGTAAAGTAGTATTCACTTGTTCTCATTCACAGGTTTGTGTCTTGTGTTTCAGGTGTCCACTGTGGAGAGTTTAAGGTCACTATGCCGCAGACTATAGAGGTTCTGAAGGGATCCTGTGTGACCATCCCCTGCTCCTTTGATATAGAGGACGGATTTGGATCAAACTTAGATGGAACCTGTAAAGCAATGTGGAAAAATGAACAAGGGACTGTAGTGTTTGACAGCAGTAATCCACAATCGTCTACAATAAAAGGAAATTTGACAGGAGACTTAACAAAAAGAGACTGCACCACAACCCTGAACAACATGCAACCTGAACACAGCAACAAATATTACCTCAGACTGGAATGTAACAATCGCCTGAAATATGAATTTCATCAACAAAAGTTGGACATTTCAGTAAAAAGTAAGGTTTTAAAGTCCATTTAGTTACACTTCAGTTGTTTATTTTTGTAGAACAGCTTTGACCTTGTTCTCCATTAATTGCACTTTTCAAAAAGTATATAAAATGGAGAAGAATTACATTTTTACTGACTGGTCAAAATGTACCTTCCCACCAGATGATCCTCTCAGACCGACTCTGACTCCGTCCACACTGGAGGTGGAGGAGGGAACCTCAGTGAGTTTGAAGTGCTCTGCTCCAGCTCCCTGTCTGTCTCATCCTCCAACTCTGACATGGACCCCCAGCCTGGGTCACAGTCAGGAGACACTGGAGGAGAATCAGGACAAAACTAAAGTCAAGACCTCTGTTGTGACCTTCACTGCTTCTCACCTCCATCACAGACAGGAAATCTCCTGTACTGCCGTCTACAACAAACAAGATGGCAGCACTGAGTCATCTGTTAGCACAAGTTTAACAGCTGATATTTCATGTGAGTTCACTTGTCATCTGTGACATTAAGACAGATACAAATGTGTCATTTTATTGTAGTAATTATTGTCAACAGCAACCTCCAGGTAAATACCCTTTAATTATGGCTATACTTTAAACTTCACCCAATTTGACTTAACTCTTAAATTTTCTGTACATGTATTACAGTTGTTCAAGTAGCATAATCTGCCTTTTTTATTTCATGACAAACATCAGGGCAAATTACACCAATGAATAATACAAATAATATTTGTCCCGTATCCAAATTGTGCCAAGTTTGACTTCCTTAGGTCCCCAGAGATACAGTCATTTTTGCTAACTTGATTAAACATGACTTTACTCGACTCTTAATTTGTCGGTCTTCTCTATATTCATTACAGTTGCTCCACAGATCCTGTTCTCCTCTGTTTGCACCAAAACTGCAGACCAGCTCAACTGTTCCTGTGAGACTGTGGGAAACCCTTCTCCCGTTTTAGACTGGTATTTGGATGGGTTACCCATCAATCACTCTGACAAGTTTGCAATCAGCAATGAGCTTCTGAATGACACAGCCCTGAGGAGCTTCATCGCTGTGAATCAACCACAGGAGAGGGATCTTTCCTCTTTGCTCTGCCGCAGCTCCAACTCTCTGGGATCTGCCAGTCAACGTTTTTGTGTCTACAGCCTTGAGCCTCGAACATCTACAGAAAATCACGGTTTGTCTTTGTGCTAAATACAAGTCCTATTGATTAGTTGGAAACTATGAGAATTTCTTGAAATTCTGATCAACTGGAACCCAATGCCATATTCTCTATATCTGCACAGTATATATATTTCCATTTAGTGTTTTTGTTTTTACATTTTTTATTCTGTTGTCAGCTCCCAACTGTTTCACATACTGTACATACTGTATATGTAAGGGACATGTTAGTTAGTCACACTCTTGATTTCTGCTTCTAGAATTCATATCGATAATGTCTGTAGTGCAAATATTATATATTAATCACTCAACCTATTTCTTAGATTTTTTTATTTTTACTTCTCTTCTATGACAGTTTTATATACTACCAATACACGATGTAACACCTTAAAACAGAGCCATTATAATTGAGTTTTGTGTTGTGGCCAAATTGTTGAAAAACACGTGCTAAAGTGTCCTCTTGGGAGCCAAAACGCATTTTAAAGTGTCCTCTTGGGAGCCAAAACTCACTAAAGTGTCCTATTGGGAGGCAAAAACGCGTGCTAAAGTGCCCTCCTGGTTGGCAAAATACACTAAATTGCCCTCTTGGGTGGAAAAAACAGTTCTATTATTAGGTAGAGATTCTGCCTAAAAGAGGTGCTAATATGGTGTTAAAATGCACGAGAATACAGGAAATGGCATCTACTTAATTGAAAACGTTCTGGGGAAGGTAGGTAACAACTTGTCAGGTAGGTAACAACTTGGGAAACCATGAAACCCTGCACAGTAAACCTTTTGTTGTTAACTTAACTCTAGTATAAATACTGACTCTATGTAGTGTTTGTCAGAACCAGTTTAAGTTTTCAAGCTTTAACAGACAATTTCTTGTGAATACACAAAATAATGAATAGTTTATGAATTTTAAAGTATGTAAAATCCCAATGGCCAGCAAGTCCACAACCCATATATAACATACTGTATATAACAGTGACTGTTGCTGGTGCAATCTGTGATTCATAAGGTTATTTTATTGTTCATTCTGACATTTTTTAGCACTGATTATTATGCCTCTACAGAATAGCAATCTAAGTAAGTAATGATTGGCAGCTGTATTCTATCAGTGATAACTACAGTATATATATATATAATTTAAGTCATGCCAGTTAGAGTTTGCCTAACCTAATTTTTGACTTTCTCTCTGAATAAACTTCTGCATTTTGTCAACTAATACATGATTTGGCTAAAAACCAAAATGGAAGTGAATATGTCAATGTAAATTGGATGTGGTGTCCTACTTTTTTACGTGCAGGGCTCAGAGGACTGAGCGCCATAACCCTACAAAGAGCCAGTGTACAGGTGACACCAGCACAGCTGTGATGAGTCAAGATGTTACAAGTGAAAATAGAAATAAGGTACAGACTGTTTTATAATTTGGGTATTAAAAAAGGATAATCTAGTGGAATATCTGTACCACTGATTTTTTTTCCCCTTTCAGGTGTCTATCACATTAGAAGAAGATATTTACATCAACACCAACATGATCAGGGGGAAAGATGAACCATATTCTCATCGAGGACATCGACAGATATCCAGTAGAAGCTCAGAGAAGCAGAATGAGGAAAGCAGTGATGTGCTTTACTCCAGTGTGATTTGGAAGAGCAAGAGCAAGAAGAAGGGAGAACGTGCTGTGGACAGGAACCTGTCTGGTACCTCCTATCTGGAGGAGGAGCGGTCCATGGAGGGAGGCATGAGCAGAAATTACGTGAGCAATGCACGGGAGATGGAGAGTCTATATGGCAACACTGTGACTGGAAAAGATGCAAAGAAGGCAGAGAATAGTGAATATGCCCAGGTTCAATTTAGAGACAAAAATATTGTGCATAAATAGATCTTGTTATGTGTAACTTTTGTTTAAACTGTTTCATTTGATCATTTGACTGTAGCAGTGGTGTTCTAGGTAATGACTGAATTGTCAGTGTTTTGTCTTTTACATGTATATACTTTAAATGGTCCAAGCACCTCTCTGACCATTTCATAAAAAATGAAGGGTCATTCGGCTGTAAATCGAATTGAATTATACAATAAAGCATCGTTGTTAATGTTAATGTGATTCCACTCCATGACAATGACAATTAATGACAGTCCTATACTATCTTTAAGTTTGTATGAATGTCTCAGTAACATGTCTTATAACACCAGGAGACAGAATTTCTGTATTGTGAAATGATTTGATGAACTGTGCTATTTCTATAGCTGCAGAAGTCGACTGTGCATGTTTGATCATCTTCTCAATACATATTATTTCTTTGCCAGTCTGGAGAGTTTTCACCAAAATGACCTGGTAAGATTTAAGATTATATTGTATTTTAAATACATCTTAGTTAGAATAATGTCTAACTGTTATTTCTAAATTGTAATACATGCATCATAAATGTCCGAGTTGGTTTAAGCAATACATTTCATTTTTGGTACCCAGATATACTACGAATTATACTTTTGAGGATTGATGATCAGTAAGGCTGCTTTTGTTTAGTTGCGTGAGTCAATTAAAGTTCCAATGTGTAACATTCAGGAGGATCTATGGGCAGAAATTGATCATATGTCATGAATATGTTTTCATTTGTGTACAATCACCTGAAAATAAGAATGGTTCTATTTTGTTACCTTAGAATGAGCCGCAGTGTATCTACAGAGTCAATGTTAATTTGTTTCTACAGTAGCCCAGAACGGACAAACGTTATCTCTAGATAGGGCCTTTGCAGCCTCCGTAGTTTCTTGCATACTTGGAAGGCCGAGCTGTATTTAAATGGATGCAATCTGCAACTTCACTGCATTATGTCACTAAATCTTACACACTGGTCATTGAACGTGTTTATGATTTAGATAGATATTAGATATTAGGTCTTTATGAGAATTTCTGGGATGATTATAAGACAACTTCACAAAAGGAATTCATGCATTTCTTATACTGAGACAACAGTGTATTAAGTAATCATGGCAAAAAACACCTCTCAGACCTTTCATAAAAATAAACCATCTCCTGCTCAGTGTTACAGCACATGAACATACTGCCATCTAGTGTAAGTTAATGGTTATTTCTTCCTTTGCCAGGATAGCTGGAAATGACCTCACATAGGTGGGGAAAAGCAATAAGAGAAATTCAACCAGGACTCCAAAATACTACAAACTTTGTGGATGAACTTGGATTACTTCAGGCCTACCTGGACAAGACAGAGAAGATCTGGGGTTAGCGGGAGCAGATAGACTGAGTGAATAATGCAGTCGGTGCTGAAGGGGCTACAGGTGGCAGGAGAGGTGGAGGAAGAGCACCAGATTAAAAGTTAGTAGAGTTACTGCAGTCATAAACAGATCTGATTAGAGGAAAATTACCAAAAGTTATGCAGTATTTTTTTTGTGTGTGTGTCATATGTTGTCAATTGCCACTTGCAGCTACATTTTATTGTTATTATTGATGATCTTGTTGACAATTTCATGCCTGGGAAAGTTTTAGGTTAACGTAACATGCATGACTTTGGACTGTAAGAGGAAACGGGAACAACTGGAGTAAACTCACCAAGACACGGGGAGAACATACAAACTGAAAACTGAGATTAATATTAAATTGATCTCTTGACTTATTTTATTTACTTACTTTAGTTTTCAAGTACAATCTGTGATTGAAACAGCAATATAGTCATTGTTAATTATTGTCCTATTCAGACTGCTGGATGTTGTTTGTTGTCAACTTCCAGTAATATGTTGTACAGTGGTATGTTTCACTTTCATTACATCCTGCATCAAGTTCTCTCTTGTGGGATAGATGGGTGTAGAAGTTGGGTATTACACCTTACAACAACAAACCCCACAACATTAAAAATCGATACAATGAATTAGACACAGTTTCCCAGAATTAGAGAAAACACTTTGAAAACAGTGAAGACCAGAACTAATGAGGAGTAATAAAATGTTTGTGGCAAGCTTGGTAAAAGGTGATGTCAGCATTCTTACTTTAGAAGACAAATGTTACATTTAACAATATGTTTTATTATTAAGTTTTCAGACTCACACAAACACACCACAGTGCCAGTCAGTTCCTCTGTTCCAGTACCAGGGGGCAGTAATGTGACACTGACATAGTTGTGCCAACCCAGCAGTAATGAGCCTTTAATGGGAGCCAGACAAGTTTTAAACATTCCAATGCACTAAAGCTTTTTAAAACAACAGTCTTTTTTCTGCAAGGCTGAAAATGATATTGGAGCACAACAATCCAACAACAGTCAAATACATAATCAATATAAGTCTCATATTTCAATTTGAGTAAAATCTATTTAAATATTCATTAATTTGTATATGAAATTATTGTATTTATTGTGTTGCTTTGGTTGTTTATAAGTCATTGTGTAATTTGATATACTTTGATTGTACAATTAAATATCAATTCATAAACTTATTTATAATAATTTGTAAGCTATATACAGTGGGTACGGAAAGTATTCAGACCCCTTTAAAATGTTCACTCTTTGTTTCATTGCAGCCATTTGCTAAAATCAAAAAAGTTCATTTTATTTCTCATTAATGTACACTCAGCACCCCATCTTGACAGAAAAAAACAGAAATGTAGAAGTTTTTGCATATTTATTAAAAAAGAAAAACTGAAATATCACATGGTCATAAGTATTCAGACCCTTTGCTGTGACACTCATATTTAACTCACATGCTGTCCATTTCTTCTGATCCTCCTTGAGATGGTCCTGCTCCTTCATTGGAGTCTAGCTGTGTTTAATTAAACTGATTGAACTTGATTAGGAAAGGCACACACCTGTCTATATAAGACCTTACAGCTCACAGTGCATGTCAGAGCAAATGAGAATCATGAGGTCAAAGGAACTGCCCAAGGAGCTCAGAGACAGAATTGTGGCAAGGCACAGATCTGGCCAAGGTTACAAAAGAATTTCTGCTGCACTCAAGGTTCCTAAGAGCACAGTGGCCTCCATAATCCTTAAATGGAAGAAGTTTGGGACGACCAGAACTCTTCCTAGACCTGGCCGTCCAGCCAAACTGAGCCATCGTGGGAGAAGAGCCTTGGTGAGAGAGGTAAAGAAGAACCCAAAGATCACTGTGGCTGAGCTCCAGAGATGCAGTAGGGAGATGGGAGAAAGTTCCACAAAGTCAACTATCACTGCAGCCCTCCACCAGTCGGGGCTTTATGGCAGGGTGTTCCGACGGAAGCCTCTCCTCAGTGCAAGACATATGAAAGCCCGCATAGAGTTTGCCAAAAAACACATGAAGGACTCCCAGACTATGAGAAATAAGATTCTCTGGTCTGATGAGACCAAGATTGAACTTTTTGGCGTTAATTCTAAGCGGTATGTGTGGAGAAAACCAGGCACTGCTCATCACCTGCCCAATACAATCCCAACAGCGAAACATGGTGGTGGTGGCAGCATCAGGCTATGGGGATGTTTTTCAGCTGCAGGGACAGGACGACTGGTTGCAATTGAAGGAAAGATGAATGCGGCCAAGTACAGAGATATCCTGGAAGAAAACCTCTTCCAGAGTGCTCAGGACCTCAGACTGGGCCAAAGGTTCACCTTCCAACAAGACAATAACCCTAAGCACACAGCTAAAATAACAAAGGAGTGGCTTCGGAACAACTCTGTGACCATTCTTGACTGGCCCAGCCAGAGCCCTGACCTAAACCCAATTGAGCATCTCTGGAGAGATCTGAAAATGGCTGTCCACCAACGTTCACCATCCAACCTGACAGAACTGGAGAGGATCTGCAAGGAAGAATGGCAGAGGATCCCCAAATCCAGGTGTGAAAAACTTGTTGCATCATTCCCAAGAAGACTCATGGCTGTAGTAGCTCAAAAGGGTGCTTCTACTCAATACTGAGCAAAGGGTCTGAATACTTATGACCATGTGATATTTCAGTTTTTCTTTTTTAATAAATTTGCAAAAATTTCTACATTTCTGTTTTTTTCTGTCAAGATGGGGTGCTGAGTGTACATTAATGAGAAATAAAATGAACTTTTTTGATTTTAGCAAATGGCTGCAATGAAACAGAGTGAAAAATTTAAAGCGGTCTGAATACTTTCCGTACCCACTGTATGTTTCCCATAGTAAGTAAGAAAAAGTACATTTTGTTGTCACAGGCGTATGCACTTTTGGGACTTCCTGATTTTACGGTAACTTCTTGTTGGCGGTTTGAAATAGCAGCACAACTGTGAAGGAACTTCACTTCTCAGTACGTCTTTGATCTGTCCGCTCGAAAGACCTGAAGAAAATGTAAGTCATCAGAACTTCTATATGATACATATCAAATCATCATTTATTTTAAATATAAAACAAGCTTCTTAAACTTAAAAATCAAGTTTTTTTTCAGTTCGATCAGTGAACAATTTCAAAGGTATAAATAAGAAAAAACACCAAAGCTATGTGAAAGGAAAAAAATCTATTCAGATACTTTAAACTATCATTAAATTGTGGTTTTGTTCCTGTTGAATAGTTGTAGAAAACAAATTGTAGATTGGTAAATACATGGAAAATTAACAAATAAAAGACATGATTTGTTTGCCATTTAACCATACAAAGGCCTATAGCTTCCTGTTTTTCCTTTTTATCATCATTTCACCGTCTACGCCTTGTTAACCAAAGCAGCATGCTATAGCACTGACACACTGAATGTTACAAAGTGTGGGACAATCAATTATTTTTTATTTTTGCAAATCTCTTCTGTTGAATATCTCCAACACCAAACTTTATTAAAAGCATGGGGAATTTGCAAGAACTGTATTTAAAATGAATAATGGTTTACTTAATTGTTCAAATATGTTTTTTAAAGAAAGGGATTTAAAAGCGGTCATACACCCCCTTTTTCTCTTACGAATAAATAGGGGAGCTGTATCGTTCTGCATTCATGAGGACTTAAACTCCATAAATAATTACATTTTGTCGGTATTCAATTGAGTGTTAGTGTCAGCACCCTTTACTGGCTTCTTTGGAACATTTTCCACATTAATAAAGTCTGAAAAAGTAAGAGGGTATCAAAACATTTCTCTATCTGCAACCTCTGCAAATATTGCATTCGATACTGGCTTCCAAATAAACCCTACTGTAAAAGTTCATGAGGGATGAAATGTACTAAAGATGTGAATTGTTCCATGTGTAATCTCCAGAGTTTCTGCCTCTCCTGACACACAAAGATGGCTGCAGCTCTGACTCTCCTTCTCATTGGCTGTCTGCTGCAGAGTGAGTTAAGGTTCATTCACATTTGGATCAATGACTATAAAACTATTAAAACCTATATCTACACACTGTTAGTTAAGCATTCACACCACAGAACAGCAGTATCTATAATACATGGTGCACTAAATACATTTGATGGGTGAACAATTTTAAATTATCTAGAAAAAAGTTGTTTAATTTTGGATTATTGTATGAATAAAGGTTTAGTGCTAAGATTCTAGCACGGCAACCAAACAGTCAAATTTCCTTCTTATTGTAAAGTAGTTTTCACTTGTTCTCATTCACAGGTTTTTGTCTTGTGTTTCAGGTGTCCACTGTGGAGAGTTTAAGGTCACTATGCCGCAGACTATAGAGGTTCTCAGGGGATCCTGTGTGACTATCCCCTGCTCCTTTGATATAGGGGACAGATTTAGATCAAACTTAGATGGAACCTGTAAAGTAGTGTGGAAAAACGAACAATGGACTGTTGTGTTTAACAGCAGTAATCCACAATCATCTGCAATAAAAGGAAATTTGACAGGAGACTTAACAAAAAGAGACTGCACCACAACCCTGAACAACATGCAACCTGAACACAGCAACAAATATTACCTCAGACTGGAATGTGACAATGGCCTTTTTATTGGACAAAAGTTGGACATTTCAGTAAAAAGTAAGGTTTTAAAGTCCATTTAGTTACACTTCCGTTTTTTTATTTTTGTAGAACTGCTTTGACCTTGTTCTCCATTAATCACATTTTTCAAAAAGTATATAAAATGGAGAAGAATTACATTTTTACTGACTGGTCAAAATGTACCTTCCCACCAGATGATCCTCTCAGACCGACTCTGACTCCGTCCACACTGGAGGTGGAGGAGGGAACCTCAGTGAGTTTGAAGTGCTCTGCTCCAGCTCCCTGTCTGTCTCATCCTCCAACTCTGACATGGAACCCCAGCCTGGGTCACAGTCAGGAGACACTGGAGGAGAATCAGGAAAAAACTAAAGTCAAGACCTCTGTTGTGACCTTCACTGCTTCTCACCTCCATCACAGACAGGAAATCTCCTGTACTGCCGTCTACAACAAACAAGATGGCAGCACTGAGTCATCTGTTAGCACAAGTTTAACAGCTGATATTTCATGTGAGTTCATTTTTCCTCTGCTGAAATTCATCATTTTAAACATTATAATTGATCTATGTCCCTTAGTTGTTTTGCATTATTCTGAATCTGTGCTGAAATAATTAATCAATTCATCCATTCAACATTTTTGTTTTCATAATGAGGATTTGCTGCTTATGTCTCTTTTATATCATTGTAAACTGAATGTCTCTGTGTTTTGGACTGTTGATCAGGAATCAGGCTACTTGAAGACATTAATCTATCCTCTGGAATATTGGCATTTTATACAGTATGCCAACATTTAATAGACTACATGACTAATTGATCAGTAGTTAAATTACAACAAAATAATCAAAAATAAAAACAATCATTAGTTGCAGCTCTAGTTTAAATGTGAAATCCATCACTTAGGAAAACAGCGACCTCAATGTTCCATTGTGAAGAATTGTCCCCTCTAGACTGTTACTCTACTGATGCCTTGACTATGAAAACTATTAAAAACTATAATAACATAAAGTTAGTCAAGTATCCAAACCACAATATAACAATATCTGTAATGCATACTACAGCAAATGAAGGATGCAGTGAGCTTTACATTTATTCTCCTGCCGTTTTCTTAAAACTTCAATATGATGAGTCGAAAATTTTGTATTTTCATCAAAACATCCAGAAAAAAAAAAACCTGTGAGACCAAAACAGATTTTTACAGTCCGGATTTTGGATTATTTTATGAATAAAGGTATAAAGTGCTCAAGGTATGATTTATTTTTGTTAACCAACCCGGAAGTTTGAATCGCCCTGGTTCCTGGTAAAGTAGTAAAGACAAAGGAACACCACTTTTATGATTTTTGAAGAGAACATTTGATTGCCAGAAGTAAAAATCTAACATTAGGCTAAAATGAAAGGCAACACATTAAACTCCTAATTACTGTAAAGTAGTATTAACTTCTTCTTTTTAAAAACATTTATGTCTTGTGTTTCAGGTCCGTTTAAGGTCATCATGCCGCAGACTATAGAGGTTCTGAAGGGATCCTGTGTGACCATCCCCTGCTCCTTTGATATAAAGGACGAATTTAAATCAAACTTAGATGGAACCTGTAAAGCAATGTGGAAAAATGATCAAGATGTTGTTGTGTTTGATAGCAGTTATCCACAATTGTCTACAATAAAAGGAAATTTGACAGGAGACTTAACAAAAAGAGACTGCACCACAACCCTGAACAACATGCAATCTGAGCATAGCAACAAATATTACCTCAGACTGGAATGTAACAATAAACTGAAACATAATTTTAATGAACAAAAGTTGGACATTACAGTCAAAGGTATGATTTAAAGTTATTTACACTTCAGTCATTAATTTCTCATGTACAACTGCCTTGACCTGGTTTTGTATTTATGTGTATTTATATCGCCTGAAACAAAGTTTTATTCATCAAAAGTTGGACATTTCAGTAAAAAGTTGGTTTTAAAGTCCTTTTAGTTACACTTCAGTTATGTATTTCCCTTGTAGAACTGCTTTGACCTTGTTCTCCATTAATCATATTTTATTCAATTAGTATATAAAATGGAGAAGAATTACATTTTTACTGACTGGTCAAAATGTACCTTCCCACCAGATGATCCTCTCAGACCGACTCTGACTCCGTCCACACTGGAGGTGGAGGAGGGAACCTCAGTGAGTTTGAAGTGCTCTGCTCCAGCTCCCTGTCTGTCTCATCCTCCAACTCTGACATGGACCCCCAGCCTGGGACACAGTCAGGAGACACTGGAGGAGAATCAGGACAAAACTAAAGTCAAGACCTCTGTTGTGACCTTCACTGCTTCTCACCTCCATCACAGACAGGAAATCTCCTGTACTGCCGTCTACAACAAACAAGATGGCAGCACTGAGTCATCTGTTAGCACAAGTTTAACAGCTGATATTTCATGTGAGTTCATTTTTCCTCTGCTGAAATTCATAATTTCAAACATTATAATTGATCTATGTCCCTTAGTTGTCTTGCCTTATTTTGAATCAGTGCTGAAAGAATTAATCAATTCATCCATTAGTCGATCAAGAGAAAAATAGTTCACATATCATCAATGATGATAATCTGTTATCTAATTTTTTTTCCTGTTCTCAAAATATGAGAAAATATTTGCTGTGTTTGTCTCTTTTATAACATTGTAAATTGAATGTCTTTCTTGGTATTTTATACAGTATGCTAACATTTTATAGACTAAATGAAGAATTGATCAGTCGTAGATAAATTACTCAACCAATTATTCAAAAATAAAAACAATCATTAGTTGCAGCTCTAGTTTAAATGTGAAATCCATCACTTTGGTAAACAGCAGTTACACTACTGATGCCTTGACTATACAAACTATTGAAAACTATAACTTCACAAGTATTTGAACCACAGTATGACAATAGGCTATCTGTAATGCATACTACAGCAAATGAAGTAGGCCTATGCTGTGAGCTACAAATGTATTCTCCTTTTGTTTTCTTAAAACTTTAATTTGATGAGTCAAAACTTTGGTATTTTTATCAAGCGACTTCGCTAAAAAATTACAACGTTTTCACACACACTAACTTCATTAGCATTTAAACACTCAACGATGGCTTCTCCCTCTTCCTCTGCTGTTCTGTCTTGCTCAGTGTGTCAGATGTTTAGCTATTCCTCTGCCCCCTTTAGTGATAATGGTACATGTATTAAGTGTAATTGATATTGAATCCTATTTAAAACTGCTGGCTAAAGATATTTAAAGAAGTAAATATAGTAAGATAGTTATTCACGTAGGCGGTAATGACACCCGATTACGCCAATTGGAAGTCACTAAAATGAATGTGGAGTCGGTGTGTAGATTTACTAAAACTATGTCGGACTCCGTAGTTTTCTCTGGACCCCTGCCCAATGTGACCAGTGATGACATGTATAGCCGCATATCGTCATTCCACCGCTGGCTGTCGAGGTGGTGTCCAGAAAACCATGTGGGCTTCATTGATAACTGGAAGCCTTTTTGGGGACAACCTGGTCTGATTAGGAGAGACAGCATCCATCCCACTTTGGATGGAGCTGCTCTCTTATCTAGAAATATGACAACGTTTATTTCTAAAACCTGACAGTCCAGAGTTGGGACCAGGAAGCAGAGCTGCTGTCTTACACACTTCTCTGCGCTTCCACTAGAACAGTCACCCACCCAAAACCCCATAGAGACTGTGTCTGTCCCCCGACCACCTAAATTATTTAAAGAAATAAAAACAAGAGGAAGTAAACATAAAAACCTAATAAAAATTAAATCTCCTCAGTAGCACAAAATAAAAGAATGAAATGTGAACTGTTAAATATCAGGTCTCTGTCTTCAAAATCTGTTTTAGTGAATGAATTAATATCAGATTATGATATTGATTTACTTTGTCTTACTGAGACCTGGTTGTCCCACGAGGAGTATGTCAGCCTGAATGAATCCACCCCCCCGCAGTCATATTAATATAATATTGGCACTGGCCGAGGAGGTGGAGTAGCAGCCATATATGATTCAAGCGTTTTAATGGACCCTAAACCTAAACTAAATTATAATTCATTTGAAAGCCTTGTTCTCAGTCTTTCTCACCTGACCTGGAAAACAGTTCTGTATGTGATAGTGTACTGTGCTCCTGGCCCGTACTCTGATTTTCTATCTAAATTCTCAGAGTTTGTATCAAGTTTAGTCGTTAAATCAGATAAAGTAATTATTGTAGGTGATTTTAATATCCATGTGGATGTTAACAATGACAGCCTTAGTAATGCATTTATCTCATTAATAGACTCAATTGGCTTCTATCAGAGTGTAAATAAACCAACTTGTTTTAATCACCCTCTTGACCTTGTTCTATCATATGGCATTGATATTGAACATAAAATAGTCTTCCCACATAATCCTTTCCTATCTGACCATTATTTAATAACTTCTGAATTTATATTATTAGATTATAAGCCATTAGGCAAAACTTCGGGTATAAAGTGCTCAAGGTATGATCTGTATTTGTTAACCAACCCGGAAGTTTGAATCGCCCTGGTTCCTGGTAAAGTAGTAAAGACAAAGGAACACCACTTTTACGATTTTTGAAGCGAACATTTAATTGCCTGAAGTAAAAAGCTAACATTAGGCTCAAAACGAACAACAACACATTAAACTCCTCATTACTGTAAAGTAGTATTCACTTCTTCTTTATAAAAACATTTATGTCTTGTGTTTCAGGTCCGTTTAAGGTCATCATGCCGCAGACTATAGAGGTCCTGAAGGGATCATCTGTGACCATCCCCTGCTCCTTTTGTATAACGGCTGATTTTAGATCAAACTTAGATGGAACCTGTAAAGCAATGTGGAAAAATGATCAAGGGACTGTTGTGTTTGACAGCAGTAATCCACAATCGTCTACAATAAAAGGAAATTTGACAGGAGACTTAACAAAAAGAGACTGCACCACAACCCTGAACAACATGCAACCTGAACACAGCAACAAATATTACCTCAGAATGGAATGTGACAAACGCCTGAAACATAATTTTAATGAACAAAAGTTGGACATTTCAGTCAAAGGTATGATTTAAAGTTATTTACACTTCAGTCATTAATTTCTCATGTACAACTGCCTTGACCTGATTTTGTATTTATTGCAATTTGCAAATCGTATAAAAAATAGAGAAGAATTAGATTTTTACTGACTGGTCAAAATGTACCTTCCCACCAGAAGATCCTCCCAGACCGACTCTGACTCCGTCCACACTGGAGGTGGAGGAGGGAACCTCAGTGAGTTTGAAGTGCTCTGCTCCAGCTCCCGGTCTGTCTCATTCTCCAACTCTGACATGGACCCCCAGCCTGGGTCACAGTCAGGAGACACTGGAGGAGAATCAGGACAAAACTAAAGTCAAGACCTCTGTTGTGAACTTCACTGCTTCTCACCTCCATCACAGACAGGAAATCTCCTGTACTGCCGTCTACAACAAACAAGATGGCAGCACTGAGTCATCTGTTAGCACAAGTTTGAGAGCTGATATTTCATGTGAGTTCACTTGTTTGTTTGTTTTTAATTCATCATGAAACAAATTTAATTGAATTAGTCAAATCTTCTACAAAAGATTAGCAGAAAAGTAATTTTGTTGACAACTTTTATATATAATGCATTTTATAAAAAAGAGGACAGCACAAAAAAACATGACAAATTACTTGATTTCCAAATATCGGATTACATTACACCTTTAAATAATGCAAATCATTTATTTTTCATTTTTTTGTGTGGAAGTGCAGCAAGAAAGCTGGCTGTTGTTTGATGTCAACTTTCTTTTACAATGATGCTTTACCAGGATGAATATGATCAAAGTGAATTCAATCTCCAGGGAACACAGATATTACGACTTATAACTGACAATGTAACACATACCAATGATATTTATTTTTCAGATTCACCCAAACACACCACAGTGTCAGTCAGTCCCTCTGGTCCAGTACCAGAAGACAGCACTGTGACTCTGACATGCAGTAGTACTGCCAACCCAGCAGTAAGGACCTACACCTGGTTCAGAGCTGATGGAGGCCAGGAGACTTTTATTGGGACCAGACCTGTTTTAAACATTGAAGCTTCTGAAGTCAGTGGTCCTTTTTTCTGCAAGGCTGAAAATGATCTTGGAGCTGGACGATCCAATATCAGTCAAATAGACGTTCAGTGTAAGTATCTAATATCAAACTTAAAATGTTCTATATACTCTGATAGGTCTAGCTGTATGCAGTACACTGATTTACATTTAATAATATATTTTCATTATTTGGCTAAGTTAGATATTTACGGTATGTTTAGGATTTTAAAATGTCCAACTTTAGCACCACTGTGTTGTCATCAAAAAAATATTTTTGTGTAGCACATGTATACTCTAATACAACTCTATTAATGCTACTGGACCAGTTCTAGGTTCAACAGAGTGGGGTAACCATACAAAATGAAACCAGAGACCAGGTACTTTAAATACAAAAACCAGCAGTTTACTGAAATTTAACATAGACAATACATATAACAAATATCAGAACCAGTGAATAGTCCTGCAGGTAACAAAAAAGTAAAGTAGAACTCACTTTCCCTTTTTTTCCTCACCTAGATTTTAAATAATTTGGTTTAGATAGTTTTTATGTTAGACCAGTCTATAAGTCTATATCTTATTTTATGTTAATAGGTTGCACCTATTTTTGGTTTCTTTCTATCTCGTGTTAACTCTTTTTTTAAGTTAGAAAACAAAAGAATATTTACACCATTTTCAAATATCTTAGTCAAGTTACACCCTTATGCTTTAAATCATAACTTTCACAATTATGAAGACAGAATAAAGTATTAATTTCAGTTCAAGTTCAGTTCCACTCTTGTATTTCAGTTCAGCTCAGTTTAAAGAGAGAAAAGTGGAAAAAGAATAACCCCAACAGTCCTACTGACCTGTCCAACAGGTCACGAAAGAAATTAATTATTCTAACTACATAAACCAGGATAAAGTTTTATAGTTACTGTAAATTGCAACATTACTGCCACGTTGTTCACACTGCTGTACTTTTCTCCTGCCCTCATGCAATTAACCACACACCTTTGCTTTACATAAAATACATTTCCACATTTTTCCACTAACACAATATACATTCATACCTCATTTCCTTAACAAACCAAACTAATTAATTAACTGATTAACAGTATGTTTATAGCTTTTTTCCAGTTACAACTGTTAGCTCTTCGCTAGCATTTATTATACTGCAACAAAGCTTCAACGAAAATAATTGAAACTCACCAAAAACCGTTGTGGTTTACTAATATAAAATCCTCATGAATCCCCGACCAGGCAGGTGTTACTTTTCAGCTTCTAAATCAACTTATCATTAAAATATTTTCTCTCTTTAATTTCTCTCCTCTCTGCTCCACTCTCCTTGTTGCTATGACAACAAACAGCAGCAAGTCTCTTAAAAGGGAAGTTCATGACATTTTCTTACAGCCATACTTTTAACTGTTTCCATTCAATTAAAGTTAAACAATTATTAATTGATTCTTACGTGAATGTATTTGTATGAATTAACTTATTTATGCATTTTAATCAATAACTTCTATTTATCACATTTCAATGTGGGTAACATCTGCATTCCACCTTACTAGTTAATCCTTTTCAGTCTCCAATATCACACATGTTAATACAAGCTAGTCAGTCATTTAATGGTGTCTCTCCTCTTTAACTTGTTAAGTACTAGTGATGACAGAAAATACTACTGACCATGTTGTATTATTCAGGTGTTTGCACTCTAGGGTCATCAGTTACAAAAGGTGTTGGCACCAAAACTTCAAAAGAAAAATTGTGACACAATCTACCTTAATTATTTCATGAAACATATCAGATCAAGTTACACCTATAAATATTATAAATAATAGTTCCATAAATGTTGTCATTTATTTTTCAGATTCACCCAAACACACCACAGTGTCAGTCAGTCCCTCTGGTCCAGTACCAGAAGACAGCACTGTGACTCTGACATGCAGTAGTACTGCCAACCCAGCAGTAAGGAACTACACCTGGTACAGAGCTGATGGAGGCCAGGAGACTTTTATTGGGACCGGACGTGTTTTAAACATTAAAGCTTCTGAAGTCAGTGGTCCTTTTTTCTGCAAGGCTGAAAAAAATCTTGGAGCTGGACGATCCAACATCAGTCAAATAGATGTTCTGTGTAAGTATTGCATGAGTAAAACCCAGGCACAATTCAGTTTATCTAAAGATTCTATTTAGTCATTTATTCATTATCTTTATTTTATTTTGTATTTTTTTTCCCCAAAGCTCCCTGGTAGCTCACCAGCGTGCCCCATTAGAATATCATTTAATATATTTATTGATACAATGTCTTCAGTAAGATGTTAACAAAATGTCTTAATTGATGCAATAAATAAGCAGGTCAGATTTAGAGCTTTGTGAAAAACAAAACAAAAAATGATAATGAACATTTTTTACTCTAAACACACAAATCTCACCATATGTGGTAAGCAGGCTCTCGTCTCATTGATAGTATCCTCATTTTGGTGATAGGAGTTCAGTTGGAAACAATATTAAACCTCATGAGATATAGTTTTTACTCCCATTCATAGTAATTAGACTCTTTCACAGTTTTCCAACTACAATACTCCTTCAGTTACTTACAACAAATTGAAGCCAGTGATTCAGTGTATCGACAGTTCTTTAACACCTTCAAATCTTCCACCTTTTACAGGTTGTTAATATTATTTAACTTTTAGATCCAGCAATATAAAAGTGTTGCGTAAACTGTTCAACGGCTCTTCATTATTCCACATCATTGAAAGAATTTCAAAACCAGCAATTCAGCCTGTCGTAGGCCGTTCAGCAGTCTGCATTCACACACATTCTCTAGTTATATGAGAGGTTGTACGTTACATCTAAGAGTTGTCTCTAATATTTAGTCTAGTAATAGTATGAGGCAAGATTTGAACCGTGACCGTCACTGTTCAAATATGGTCTTTTGTGTCCGATGTAAATAACCTCTTTGTTCTTTCTTGTTCCATCAACTGACTCTGGGTAATAACCAATTCCCAGTCAATACTTTGATGTTTCTAACTGGTTTAAATAATTATATATATATTTTTTTTACAATTTATTGACTTCATTTGGCTCCCTTTAGTTACCACAGGCCCTCATCAGTATAGAAGTCAATTCTTTGATAAAATCAGGCAAATACACTAACAGATAAGTAAATATGTCATTAGTTAACCCACTTGTAAGACTAACCTAACCCTGGGTTAATATGGCTACAAACAATTCCTTTATTCCTGTGGTAACAAGACACACAAATGAGCACAGAAAAGACCCTCAATGTGGAAAATGATTGACTTTGCATTAAGTTTGTCTTCACTTGCAACTTACAGTTATTGTGATATCAGTACATCTTGTCATTTATTTTTGCAAACTTGATTAAACATGACTATTACAAGCTTGACTCAGACATGTGACAGCAGAGGGAGTCAACACACACAAATGTCCAAAGCCAAAATAATTTATAGGAAAATAAGAGTTAGGATGTATGTGTGACTAAACTAAGAAGGCGTGGAGTTTATTTTATACCTTTGACCCCTCCCAGTAAAGGAAGCCACATGGGCTGTCACAAACTTCATTCTTAACTTGTCGGTTTTCTCTATATTCATTACAGTTGCTCCACAGATCCTGTTCTCCTCTGATTGCATCAAAACTGCAGACCAGCTCAACTGTTCCTGTGAGACTGTCGGAAAACCTTCTCCCACTTTACAGTGGTATTTGGATGGGTTACCTGTCAATCACTCTGACAAGTTTGCAATCAGCAACGAGCCTCTAAATGAGACAAGGCTGAAGATATTCATCACTGTGAATCAACCACAGGAGAGGGATCTTTCCTCTTTGCTCTGCCGCAGCTCCAACTCTCTGGGATCTGCCAGTCAACGTTTTTATGTTCTTCAAACATCTGCAGAAAGTCAGGGTTTGTCATAGTTTTATTGATTAGTTGGAAATCATCAGGATTTCTTAAAATTTCATTTCATATATTAATTTAGTGACTAGGCTTTTCTTTTATAATAATAAAAAACACCCCCAAAAATTATTTCTGTGTGTCATGAGTAATGATGCCCTGTAACCAGTCCCCAACCAGGATGATTGAGCCACTGTTGCATCAATTACAAGGATATGATATGTGAAGTGTTATTGTTGTTTCTTGTGACAGGACTTGAGCAACATTGTGGACCGTACTGTGGAATTCTTCTATTGGCTGTTGCTGGTGTCTCTCTCAGTGTGAACATCTTGTACACAATCTACGTGGTGTTCCTTTGGTATGTATGTTATTACAGTGGATTCTATTTTTTTGTAAAAGCTCTGCTGATAAATAGCAATGTTGTTTTTAGAAAATATTGAATATGTACTTTTATTTTTCTTTCTCCTCAAAGTAAAAGAAGAAAGAGTGTGAAGCCAAAAGAAGAGGAGATGACTTACATGTCTTTGGATCGTAGAGACACATCTCCAGAGTATGATGTCATTGCCCAAACTCCAAAATGACTCCCTCTACTTCCACTGATGATGAGCTTGATGATTATCACATAACATTGCTTAATGATTTATTGTATATCTTATACTGAGGCAAAAGCTCATCCTTCATCACCTTGCTCTCTCTTGCAGTGCCTTAAACTTCCACTTAGTGATATCAGTGTTTATGTATCAATTATCTAACATTGAACAACTATACAATGTAATGTAAATAAATAGTTTTTCTATATGAATCTTCTAATGCTCGCTTTTGTAGAAATGTTTTAAACTTCAACAGAAAGGTTATTGATTATGCTATATGGTCATTTTTAGGTACTTGGGTTTTCATGTTTGTTGGTGTACATATGTATGGTATACATAATGTTGTTTCTTCTTTTTTCAACAATAAATGAACAATAAATACCCCTTTTGTACATCTTCGTCAGTCCCTGAGTCGTGCGTTTGAGTCCACCAGAATTGTGTCAGAGGTTGTGACACGTACATGTTTTTCTCATGAATAAGAGGACAGGATTTACAGGACACTGGATCGAAGAGATGAGTCTCAGAAACAGACGGTGTCAGCATCCACTGAGTGCTTTGTTGATTGTTTGACAATGACACTGAAATATTTCTCAACAAAATATTAGACCATTGTTCATTTCCTGTTTGTTCCCTGTTCCAAAGAGTAATTGTCTTTTAAAGCATGACCACAATTGTTAAATAACTTCAACCATACATTTGTTTTTTGTAATTTGTGATTTTAAACTGTTTCAGAAGGCTCAGACAAATGTTGTCTACCCGTAGTGGACTTGTTGTAATACTATTTTGAATATCAACTAGAATTATGAGTGTGTCTGAACCCCTATTTGCTACAATAGGTGAGTACAATAACATGAGCACAATGTAATGTAAATAGCACTGTAGAGATAGTAGCTTTGAAGGGGTTATACTGCTTAATTATTGGTGAAACTGGATCACAGAGGTATTCACTTAACTTTGTGCTCATTTGAGTGTGTGGTGGTTTTATTTTGCACTCTGAACTGAATGAACATTCAATATGACATTCAATAAAAAAAGGTTCATACATACTGAACTGAACTCGACTCAATTAGATGATAAAATGTCTGTGTGCATATGACTGTGTTTGCCTTCCTTATCTGACGTGTGACGGTTAAAAAACATTTCTTGAAACAATTACAATTAAATATTTATTCATAAACTTATTTATAATAATTTCTAAGCTATATATGTTTCCCATAGTAAGTAAGAAAAAGTACACTTCATTGTTACATGAATCTGCACTTTTGTGACTTCCTCATTTTAAAGTTAATTCTTGCATTCTGTTGGAAACAGCAGCACAACTTTGAAGGAACTTCACTTCTCTATACATCTTTGCTCTGTCTACCTGGAAGACCTGAAGACAATGTAAGTCATCATAACTTCTACATGACACATATTACATAAGCAACATTTTTTTAAATGTACTATAAAATTCAAAAAATATAAACATGAGGTTACTTTGCTCTCAACAATTACAGTACAAAATTTCAAAGGTAGAAAAAAGAAAAGACACTAAATATGTGAAAGGTGGCAAAATCGTCCGATTGTGGTTTAAGAATGTTGAAACTAATTCTCTCAAATAAATTGTAACTTTGTAAATAAACTGAAAAAAAAGACATAGTATGTTTGTCATTTTTTTCCTTTCTCAAAACAGCATAGCTTCCTGTTTTTCATTTTTATTATCTGTTAATTTTCTACGTCTTTTTAACCAAAGCAGCATGTTGTAGCACTGAACTGAATGTTACAAAGGGTGGGTATTGATTAGACCTTGATTGAAGTATTGATTAATTTAACTGTTCAATTATAGTTTTTAAAGGAATGCAGTAATACGTCCCCTTATTCCTCTACGAATGATAAATAGGTGTGCTGTGTCACCGTGACCTCATGAAATGAAGAAACAGATCCGGATTGCAAAACGTTTCTTTGTCTGCAACCTCCGCAAATATTAAATTCAATACTGGCCTCCAGATGAACCCTACTGTAAAAGTTCATGAGGGATGAAATGTACTAAAGATGTGAATTGTTCCATGTGTAATCTCCAGAGTTTCTGCCTCTCCTGACACACAAAGATGGCTGCAGCTCTGACTCTCCTTCTCATTGGCTGTCTGCTGCAGAGTGAGTTAAAGTTCATTCACATTTGGATCAATGACTATAAAACTATTAAAACCTATATCTACACACTGTTAGTTAAGCATTCACACCACAGAACAGCAGTATCTTTGATACATGGTTCACTAAATACATTTGATGAGTGAACAATTTTATTTATCTCGAAAAAATCTTTACAGTCTTCATTTTGGATTATTTTATGAATAAAGGTATAGCGCTAAGATTCTAGCACGGCAACCAAACAGTCAAATTTCCTTCTTATTGTAAAGTAGTATTCACTTGTTCTCATTCACAGGTTTGTGTCTTGTGTTTCAGGTGTCCACTGTGGAGAGTTTAAGGTCACTATGCCGCAGACTATAGAGGTTCTGAGGGGATCCTGTGTGACCATCCCCTGCTCCTTTGATATAAAGGACGGATTTGGATCAAACTTAGATAGAACATGTAAAGCAATGTGGAAAAATGAACAAAGGACTGTTGTGTTTGACAGCAGCAATCCACAATCGTCTATAATAACAGGAAATTTGACAGGACACTTAACAAAAAGGGACTGCACCACAACCCTGAACAACATGCAACCTGAACACAGCTACAAATATCACCTCAGACTGGAATGTGACAATCGCCTGAAATATGATTTTAATCAACAAAAGTTGGACATTTCAGTAAAAAGTAAGGTTTTAAAGTCCATTTAGTAACACTTCAGTTGTTTATTTTTGTAGAACTGCTTTGACCTTGTTCTCCATTAATTGCACTTTTCAAATAGTATATAAAATGGAGAAGAATTACATTTTTACTGACTGGTCAAAATGTACCTTCCCACCAGATGATCCTCCCAGACTGACTCTGACTCCGTCCACACTGGAGGTGGAGGAGGGAACCTCAGTGAGTTTGAAGTGCTCTGCTCCAGCTCCCTGTCTGTCTCATCCTCCAACTCTGACATGCACCCCCAGTCTGGGTCACAGTCAGGAGACACTGGAGGGGAATCAGGACAAAACTAAAGTCAAGACCTCTGTTGTGACCTTCACTGCTTCTCACCTCCATCACAGACAGGAAATCTCCTGTACTGCCGTCTACAACAAACAAGATGGCAGCACTGAGTCATCTGTTAGCACAAGTTTAACAGCTGATATTTCATGTGAGTTCATTAGTTATTTTTTTAATTCATCATGAAACAATTTTAAGTCAAATCTTCTACAAAAGATTAGCAGAAAAGTAATTTTGATGACAATTTTTATATATAATGCATTTTATAAAAAATGGGTCAGCACACATGACAAATTACTTGATTTCCAAATATCAGATTACATTACACTTTTAAATAATACAAATCATTTATTTGTCATTTTGTTGTGTGGAAGTGCAGCAAGAAAGCTGGCTGTTGTTTGCTGTCAACTTTCTTTTACAATGATGCTTTACCAGGATCAAAGTGATCAAAGTTAATTCAATCTCCAGGGAACACAGATATTACGACTTATAACTGACAGTGTAACACATACCAATGATATTTATATTTCAGATTTACCCAAACACACCACAGTGTCAGTCAGTCCCTCTGGTCCAGTACCAGAAAACAGCACTGTGACTCTGACATGCAGTAGTACTGCCAACCCAGCAGTAAGGACCTACACCTGGTACAGAGCTGATGGAGGCCAGGAGACTTTTATTGGGACCGGACATGTTTTAAACATTAAAGCTTCTGAAGTCAGTGGTCCTTTTTTCTGCAAGGTTGAAAATGATCTTGGAGCTGGACGATCCAACATCAGTCAAATAGATGTTCAGTGTAAGTATCAAATTTCAAAGTCAAAATGCTCTATATACTCTGATAGGTCTAGCTGTATGCAGTACACTGATTTACATATAATAATATTTTGTGATTCATTTGTTAATTTAGATATTTAGGTGATAATTTGAATGCCGAACTTTAACACCCCCCATGTAGTTATCAAAAAAGAGATTTTTACATTCCACCGTACTAGTTAATCCTTTTCAGCCAACAATATCATACTCATGTCATTATTGGCTAGTCAATCATTTAATAGTCGCTTTCCTTGTCAACCCATTAAGCACAGTAGTTTGAGGAGGCACATGTTGGTCGTAGGTCACATATTGCATGTAGCCCTCAAGATTCAGTTGGGTAGTCCAACAAATGTGTGTTAGTGCAGCAAGGAAGCTGGCTGTTGTTTGCGGTCAACTTTCTCTCGATGGAACACATATATTAGAAATTACAATGTAACACATAATAATATTTATGTTTCAGATTCACCCAAACACACCACAGTGTCAGTCAGTCCCTCTGGTCCAGTACCAGAAGACAGCACTGTGACTCTGACATGCAGTAGTACTGCCAACCCAGCAGTAAGGAACTACACCTGGTACAGAGCTGATGGAGGCCAGGAGACCTTTATTGGGACCGGACGTGTTTTAAACATTAAAGCTTCTGAAGTCAGTGGTCCTTTTTTCTGTAAGGCTGAAAATGATCTTGGAGCTGGACGATCCATCATCAGTCAAATAGACGTTCAGTGTGAGTATCACATGATTAAAACTTTTTATATTACCTCAATCAAGGTATAATTCAATGTATTCTGTTTAGTCATTAATCTATTTACTATTGTATTTAGTTTTTCAAAAAGCTCTTGACTTAATCTGTTTATTTATTACATTTATTTAAACATTTTATTAAGCAATCTCTTCTTTAATAAATGTGACACATTTTTAGGATAGTTTATACATTACACATGTTTCTAATATTCAATATAACCTTAGGAGTGTATTGGAAATATTATAGCATCCCTATCACTGTTCAAGTATAGTCTTTGGCGTCTAATGTGAATGGCCTTTAACTTCTATGTATTTGCTGGTTAATGACATTGAACAATTCTCGATGACATCATCGTTTTATAAAATATTTTACTTCTTTTTACTAATGACATAATCTTGCCATACATTATGTGTCAAAATCATATCTAAATACATATATTTCTCCCCACTGGTTAAATTAACCTAACCCTGGGTTAAAATTGTTCCAGAAAATGAAATTATTATAGCAGAATAAAGCCTTCAATGAGTTCAAATATATAGAATAATGGACTTCATGACAGTCTTAACTCACAACTTCTCAACAATTATTTTGTTTAATCAGTACATCTTGTCTTTCATTTTTGTGAACTTGATTAAAAATGACTTTATTTGACTCTTAACTTGTCGGTCTTCTCTGCATTCATTACAGTTGCTCCACAGATCCTGTTCTCCTCTTATTGCACCAAAACTACAGACCAGCTCAACTGTTCCTGTGAGACTGTGGGAAACCCTTCTCCCACTTTACAGTGGTATTTGGATGGGTTACCTGTCAATCACTCAGACACATTTGCAATCAGCAATGAGCCTCTAAATGAGACAGGTCTGAGGATAATCATCACTGTGAATCAACCACAATGGAGGAATCTTTCCACTTTGCTCTGCCGCAGCTCCAACTCTCTGGGATCTGCTACTCAGAGGTTTTATTTCTACAGCCTTGAGCCTCAAACATCTGCACAATGTATGTGTTGTTCCAAAGTTTTATTGATGTTTTAGAAACTTTCAGGATTTCTCAAATTCATATTTTATTATTACTATTATATTTATGTGACTAATGACTACTCATCAACATACCTTAATATTTCCTCTATTTGTGTTTGAAATACTGAACCAGAAATGCCCCAAAATATTTTTTACTGCCACATTAATTGTAAACATGGGTAGTGATACACTGTAACTAATCCAAAGGTATCATTTTGTTCAATGAAATGTTGTTAAAATGTTTTCTCAAAGTTATGCATATATACTTTCTTTCTTGATAAAAAGAAAGAAGCATAAATCAGTTAGTAGTGATAAAAAAGACGTTCCTTGTTTCCTTGAATTCTTTAAACAGTTCAATGTCCAAACTTTTATCAGAATAATTATCTCATGTCTGAGTTACCTCTTTATCCTAATCTTCCACTGTCCCTTGTATGTTTCAGACCAAGTGACACTGACAGTCTTCATCATCATAGTTGTTGCACTGCTAGTACTAGTATGTGCTCTGCTGTTAGTCAACAGGTACGGTAACAGCTTGAGACAAAATGTTCAGACATTCCCTTCCACACACAACTGCTATTACTAACTTTTACTTGGACTTCTGTGAGTGTTTGTTTGGGTCTTCATCCATCAGAACCAATTTAACACTTGTAATAGTTTGTGCTGTATCTGTAAACCATGTTCTGAGGAGACCTGGGACCTCATTTATATATCAAACTTATACATTTTTTATCTTTATTATGACTTCCACAGAGAACCATGAAACTGGTGGGTAATATTCATGTCCATCATATCCCTATTTGTTAGACACCTTTGACAGCTGATCCTCTTTGTAGATTCAGTTTGTCTATGTTTGTCATATGTTGCGTAGATTTTCATTTGTGATCAACGGTTTCATCCTGTTGATTAATAAATGAGCAGTGGGAAAAGATGAATCAAATATAACCATGTAGGTTAAATGTTCTACTGTATTTTTCAGAGCTCAGAAGACTCGCCATAATCTTCCTAAGGGCACCGTTGCTATGAGTCAACTTCTAACAAGTGGAGAGGGAAACGAGGTACGGGGGGATTTTATACTTAGAATTAAGTAATTAAATTTGGATTAGCAGAATATGTGTACCATTGATGTCTTCTCTTTAATTGCAGGTACCCAACACAACAGAAGACGACATTTCTATCAACGCCAGTGTGCTGAGACAGGAAGATGTCGCCCCTCCTGCAGCTGTCTCTGGCCCAAACAACGCCGACTCAGCAAGCTCTGGGCCAAACAATGCAGAAGGAGCCGATAAAAACTTAGAGAAGAAGAATGAAGGAGGCAGCGACGTGGTTTACGCGAATGTGAACTGGAAGAGCAAGAGCAAGAAGAAGAAGAAGGAAGATGATGCTGTGGACATGGATCAACCTGGTAGCTCCTATCTTGAGGAGGAGAGGTGCATGGTGGGAGGCATGAGCAGAAAATCTGTGAGCAACGCAATGGAGATGGGAAGCCTATATGACAATGTAGAGCCTAGAAATGTGAAGAAGGAAGTGGAATGTGAATATGCCCAGGTTCAATTAAAAAAAAAAGTGAGAAGAAATAGATCACACTTCTGTATTGCTCTGCCTATTTTTAAAACTATTTTTCAGAATGTCTTGTTCTCTTGTACATACGTTTCCTCATTTGCTTTTTGTTGTTGCTTTGAAACAGAATTTCAAATGAACAGAATTATGTTTCATTGTTTTTAATTTAAGAGGTTTTTAACATCTTGCAGATTTTGTGTCACTGAATAATTTTGTTTTACGTGCATGCTAAACTGTATTTTTACTCATAAAATTATGTTTGGCTTGTGTAAATTGACAGATCCTCCTCTGTTTTACATTTATTTAGTAGTTTGGAATATTTTGTTTATTATATTCTTTTGAACATTGGATTTTTGTTAAAACATACCTTGCTGTAGAAACAATAATAATCCAATAATCCGCAAAACTGCTTTTTGATGAAATGTTACGGAATAATGGTCTAACATTGTTACAGCTGCTGTGTTCAGAAATTAAGAGGTCAAAAGGTGACTCACTGACTGCTGTACAGCCGCTACTTTCTTAAACTGCTAAGCTTGTTTATGGGTAAAATTGAGTTTCATCTGTTTGTATCACTGTTGCTGAGTATCATTACACATAAAAAAGATGACACAGTAAGCAAATATTTCAAATATTAGTGTCATCTGAAAATTATTTTACCCAACTTCTGGGATTTGTCCTAGAACAGGAAAAATAAAAAAAAAATAAAAATAGAAGTTTAAAACCTGCATAATTCTCACATTTAAACTGGAAATGTACATTGTTTAATAATTTTGTAATCAATAAAAGGTATTTTAAAGTATTTGTAGCTTTTCTGATATTGTTAAGTGTTTTATTAACACTATTTGCAATGCAGTGTATCTGTATAAAATAATATACTATATATAATGACTAGTCAATTATTTAATCAATGTTTTCCATATCAACTTATTAAGTACTAGTGACCATAGGAAATACTAATTATCATGTTGCATTATTCAGGTTACTGGCATAGTGTCTGTCACATGAACTGAATCAGTTAATACTACTTAAATTTAATAGTCATGCAACATTTCACCACAGGTTGAGTTTATATTGGTATTTATTAATTTGTAAGACATTTTAGAGGAAATAACTAATGGTTTACTTGCAATATTCTGACTTCAATACTTGCTAATAGGCAGTGTCATCAGGTGTATTATAATTATCTGTATAATAGTTTCATCGTTTGCACAATGTTTTAATTTCAGGATTTTTACTATAATAGTGAACTGGTAAAGTTCAGTAATGGAACCAGTCAGATTATTCATAAAACGTTAATTATATCAATAATACAAACAATATTTGTAAGAGGAACAGGTCGGGTGTTGGTGATATACTGCGCCGCAAGATTCAGTGTCCCGGGCCAACAGGTGGGTGGCGGTGCAGAAACATAGCAAGAAAGCTGGTTGTTGTTGTTTGATGTCAACTTTTTGACATTACATTAATAACGTGGTTTACACTGATGATTTAACAGGACAAATACACCTGGTACAGAGCTGACAGAGGCCAGGAGGACTTTACTGGGACCGGACGTGTTTTAAACATTAAAGCTTCTAAAGTCAGGGGTCCTTTTATCTGCAGGGCTGATAATGATCTAGGAGCTGGACGTTGCAACATCAACCAAATAAACGGTGAATATAAGTTTTCGTTTATTTAAAGCTTTTATTTACCTTTTGGCTGTTAACACACTTTGTCATTGTAGACATACAACAACATTTTGTATGGTACCTCTCAGTGACAAGCGGCATCAATAAAAACAAGATAAAAAAGATAATACATGTAAATACAGTAGTACTGTAACCCATATTGAAATGTGATAAATGGAAGTAATTGATTGAAATGCATAAATAAGTTAATTAATTAAAATGAATTCATGTAAGAATCAATCAATAGCTTTAATTGAATGGAAACAGTTAAAAGTATGGCTGTAAGAAATTCTCATGAACTTCCCCTTTAGGAGACTCTCTGCTTGTTGCCGTAGCAAGAAGGAGAGTGGAGCAGAGAGGAGAGAAATTAACGAGAGAAAATATTTTAATGAAAAGTTGATTTAGAAGCTGAAAAGTAACACCTGCCTGGTCCGGGATTCATGAAGATTTTATATTAGTAAACCACAACGGTTTTTGGTGAGTTTCAATTATTTTCGTTGAAGCTTTGTTGCAGTATAATAAATGCTAGCGAAGAGCTAACAGTTGAAAAAGCTATAAACATACTGTTAATCAGTTAATTAATTAGTTTGGTTTGTTAAGGAAATGAGGTATGAATGTATATTGTGTTAGTGGAAAAATGTGGAAATGTATTTTATGTAAAGGTGTGTGGTTAATTGCATGAGGGCAGGAGAAAAGTACAGCAGTGTGAACAACGTGGCAGTAATGTTGCAATTTACAGTAATTATAAAACTTTATCCTGGTTTATGTAGTTAGAATAATTCATTTACTTTTTTCAGTTTTTTTCCTTGTTCCTGTATGAAGTTGGACTTGAGTGTTGCTTCTTCTGCAGTGTGTGGAGGACGACAAACACACACACAAGCGCGGGATACAAGATGGCGAGCCAACCCATGGACCCATGAAGTTTCTAGAGACAACTCCGCTCCATCATGTCAGAAAGGATCCACTGTGTACACACTGTTGGTAAACTGGCTGCCAGAGCGGTAGTGTTGGGGTTATTCTTTTTCCCCTTTTCTCTCTTTGAACTGAACTTGAACTGAAATTAAGTATTACTTCATATTGTATTCTGCAGTGTTGGGGTAGTTACTGAAACAAAATCCATTACACATTACTAGTTACTTTTTTAAAAAGTAATGCCTTACTTTACTGTGTTACTCGCTGCTTAAAGTAATTAGTTACACTACTAGTTACATTACTTTTGGATTACTCCATGAGATCACCTGAGATGCACCATACCTTCATTGCCAATGTTTTCTTTAGCTCAGTGTCCATCTTGACATAACACTGGTCCAGGTAGCTTGTAAAGGTTTTCCTGTCTGATGGCGGGCGTCCGCTCCGCGTTGTGTGTATTTTGCTCAGTTTCGAAAAGACGACGATTCCACAGTTACTTTGTAACGCGTTACCCCCAACACTGGTCTTCATAATTGTGAAAGTTATGATTTAAAGCATAAGTGTTTGACTTGACTAAGATTTTTGAAAATGGTGTAAATATTCTTTTATTTTCTTACTTGTGAAGGAAAGAAAAAAAGGGGTAAACTCAAGGAGATAGAAAGAAACCAAAAATAGGTGCGACCTGTCCACATAAAATAAGACAGTTACTTATAGACCGGTCTAATATAAAAACTTTCTAAACCAAATTATTTAAAATCTAGGTAAGGGGAAGATGAGTTCTATTTGACTTTTTTTGTTACCTGCAGGACTATTCACTGGTTCTAATATTTGTTATGTGTATTGTCTATGTTAAATTTCAGTAAACTGCTGGTTTTTGTATTTAAAGTACCTGGTCTCTGGTTTCATTTTGTATCGTTACCCCACTCTGTTGAACCTAGAACTGGTCCAGTAGCATTAATAGGGTTGTATTAGAGTATACATGTACTACAATACATATAAATATGAAGAGAGAGGCATTTGGATGAGCAGGTAAGCAGTGATAGTGCACATTGTCAGTATCAGTATAAAATATATATTTCACAACAGTTTGACAGTATACAGCAGAGACAAGATATGTGTAGTATATGTGTATGTGCTGTTTGTAATAAAGTTTTTATGTGCAATACAACAGGTGGGTGAATGAGTCTTTCAGTCTATAACTCCTGTGAGAGGGTGGGGGTGACGGAGGCTTCAGCTCTGGGGAAGAAGCTGTTCCTATGTGTCTGTTTGAACTAAATGAGATCTTTCTCTGTCCGTCCACTGACTCCTGGTAAAGGACTTTGACCAATTCCCAATCAATGCTCTGATACGTTTCTAAAGTAATTGATATACATTATCATATATTTTGTTGTTGTTTTTATTGACATTATTATTATTACTACTACTACTACTAGCTACTACAGGTCAACAATCACTGAACTGAATCTACATTCAATATGAAATACATAAAGCTGTTGAGTTGGAGTTAGATGATAAAATGTCCGTGTGCCATACAACTGTGTCCGCCTCCCCTATATGACGTGGGACTGTTTAAAACTGATAAAAAAAAGTACATACATTTCATTTTCACACTCATGTGCACTTTTGTAACTTCCTCATTTTAAAGTTAATTCTTGCATGCGGTTCGAGAAAGCAACATAACTTTTAAGGAACTTCACTTCTCTATACGTCTTGATCTGTCTGCCTGGAAGACCTGAAGAAAATGTAAGTCATCATAACTTCTATATGACACATATTGAATTCATAAATGTTAAATACACTATGAAGTAATAAAAACATAAACATTAGGTCATTTTACTTTAGATCAATAAACAATGTTAAAGGTATAAAAAAGAAAACACAGGTAGTAAAATGTCCCATTGAAATGTAAGCTGTAATTTGATTGTAGTTTGAGACAGTTGAAAATAGTTGTGAAAAAGAAACTGTACCTTTGTAAATAAATTGAAAGAAATCAAGAAAAGAGACCATATGTTTGTCATTTTTTCCTTTCACAAAACAGTATAACTTCCTGTTTTTCCTTTTCATCATTTCATCTTCTACGTCTTGTTTAACCAAAGCAGCATGTTGTAACTCTGACAAACTGAATGTTACAAAGTGTGGGTCAAACAATAGTTTGTTTTTGCAAATCTTTTATAATAAGTTATAAATAAAAAGGCAAAATTGCAAGAAATGTATTTAAAATAAGTATTGATTAATTTAACTGTTTAATTATAGTTTTTTTCATGAAATTAAGAAATAGATACAGGATTGCAAACGTTTCTTTGTATGCAACCTCTGCAAATATTGCATTCAATAGTAGCCTCCAAATGAACCCTACTGTAAAAGTTTATAAGGGATGAAATGTACTAATGATGTGAATTGTTCCATGTGTAATCTCCAGAGTTTCTGTCTCTCCTGACACACAAAGATGGCTGCAGCTCTGACTCTCCTTCTCATTGGCTGTCTGCTGCAGAGTGAGTTAAAGTTCATTCACATTTTTATAGTTTTATAGTCATCAATGACTTTAAAACTATTAAAACCTATATCTACACACTGTTAGTTAAGCATTCACACAACAGAACAACAGTATCTATAATACATGGTGCACTAAATACATTTGATGGGTGAAACATTTTATTTTTATCTAGAAAAAATCATTACAGTCATCTTTTTGGATTATTTTATGAATAAAGGTTTTGTGCTAAGATTCTAGCACGGCAACCAAACAGTCAAATTTCCTTATTATTGTAAAGTAGTTTTCACTTGTTCTCATTTACAGGTTTGTGTCTTGTGTTTCAGGTGTCCACTGTGGAGAGTTTAAGGTCACTATGCCGCAGACTATAGAAGTTCTCAGGGGATCCTGTGTGACCATCCCCTGCTCCTTTGATATAAAGGACGGATATAGATCAGACTTAGATAGAACATGTAAAGCAATGTGGAAACATTATCAAGATGTTGTTGTGTTTAATAGCAGAAATCCTCATTCGTCTACAATAAAAGGAAAACTGACAGGAGTCTTAACAGCTAAAGACTGCACCACAACTCTGAACAACATGCAACCTGAACACAGCAATAAATATTACCTCAGAGTGCAATGTGACAATGGCCTCAAATATGATTTTTTTGAACAAAAGTTGGACATTTCAGTAAAAGGTAGGTTTTAAAGTCAATGTATTTACACTTAAGTTATTTAGAACTGCTTTGACCTTGTACTCCATTAATTGCACTTTTCAAATAGTATATAAAACGGAGAAGAATTACATTTTTACTGACTGGTCAAAATGTACCTTTCCACCAGATGATCCTCACAGACCGACTCTGACTCCGTCCACACTGGAGGTGGAGGAGGGAACCTCAGTGAGTTTGAAGTGCTCTGCTCCAGCTCCCTGTCTGTCTCATCCTCCAACTCTGACATGGACCCCCAGCCTGGGTCACAGTCAGGAGACACTGGAGGAGAATCAGGACAAAACTAAAGTCAAGACCTCTGTTGTGACCTTCACTGCTTCTCACCTCCATCACAGACAGGAAATCTCCTGTACTGCCGTCTACAACAAACAAGATGGCAGCACTGAGTCATCTGTTAGCACAAGTTTAACAGCTGATATTTCATGTGAGTTCATTTGTTTGTTTGTTTTTTAATTCATCATGAAACAAATTTAATTGAATTAGTCAAATCTTCTACAAAAGATTAGCAGAAAAGTAATTTTGATGACAATATTTATATATAATGCTTTTTATAAAAAAGAGCAAAAAACATGACAAATTACTTGATTTCCAAATATCAGATTACATTACACCTTTAAATAATACCAAACATTTATTTGTCATTTTGTTGTGTGGAAGTGCAGCAAGAAAGCTGGCTGTTGTTTGATGTCAACTTTCTTTTACAATGATGCTTTACCAGGATGAATATGATCAAAGTTAATTCAATCTCCAGGGAACACAGATATTACGACTTATAACTGACAATGTAACACATACCAATGATATTTATTTTTCAGATTCCCCCAAACACACCACAGTGTCAGTCAGTCCCTCTGGTCCAGTACCAGAAGACAGCACTGTGACTCTGACATGCAGTAGTACTGCCAACCCAGCAGTAAGGAACTACACCTGGTACAGAGCTGATGGAGGCCAGGAGACTTTTATTGGGACCGGACGTGTTTTAAACATTGAAGCTTCTGAAGTCAGTGGTCCTTTTTTCTGCAAGGCTGAAAATGATCTTGGAGCTGGACGATCCAACATCAGTCAAATAGACGTTCAGTGTAAGTATCTAATATCAAACTTGAAATGTTCTATATACTCTGATAGGTCTAGCTGTATGCAGTACACTGATTTACATTTAATAATATATTTTCATTATTTGGCTAAGTTAGATATTTACGGTATGTTTAGGATTTTAAAATGTCCAACTTTAGCACCACTGTGTTGTCATCAAAAAAATATTTTTGTGTAGCACATGTATACTCTAATACAACTCTATTAATGCTACTGGACCAGTTCTAGGTTCAACAGAGTGGGGTAACCATACAAAATGAAACCAGAGACCAGGTACTTTAAATACAAAAACCAGCAGTTTACTGAAATTTAACATAGACAATACATATAACAAATATCAGAACCAGTGAATAGTCCTGCAGGTAACAAAAAAGTAAAGTAGAACTCACTTTCCCTTTTTTTCCTCACCTAGATTTTAAATAATTTGGTTTAGATAGTTTTTATGTTAGACCAGTCTATAAGTCTATATCTTATTTTATGTTAATATGTTGCACCTATTTTTGGTTTCTTTCTATCTCGTGTTAACTCTTTTTTTAAGTTAGAAAACAAAAGAATATTTACACCATTTTCAAATATCTTAGTCAAGTTACACCCTTATGTTTTAAATCATAACTTTCACAATTATGAAGACAGAATAAAGTATTTATTTCAGTTCAAGTTCAGTTCCACTCTTGTATTTCAGTTCAGCTCAGTTTAAAGAGAGAAAAGTGGAAAAAGAATAACATCAACAGTCCTACCGACCTGTCCAACAGGTCACGAAAGAAATTAATTATTCTAACTACATAAACCAGGATAAAGTTTTATAATTACTGTAAATTGCAACATTACTGCCACGTTGTTCACACTGCTGTACTTTTCTCCTGCCCTCATGCAATTAACCACACACCTTTGCTTTACATAAAATACATTTCCACATTTTTCCACTAAAACAATATACATTCATACCTCATTTCCTTAACAAACCAAACTAATTAATTAACTGATTAACAGTATGTTTATAGCTTTTTTCCAGTTACAACTGTTAGCTCTTCGCTAGCATTTATTATACTGCAACAAAGCTTCAACGAAAATAATTGAAACTCACCAAAAACCGTTGTGGTTTACTAATATAAAATCCTCATGAATCCCCGACCAGGCAGGTGTTACTTTTCAGCTTCTAAATCAAAATTTTCATTAAAATATTTTCTCTCTTTAATTTCTCTCCTCTCTGCTCCACTCTCCTTGTTGCTATGGCAACAAACAGCAGCAAGTCTCTTAAAAGGGAAGTTCATGAGAATTTCTTACAGCCATACTTTTAACTGTTTCCATTCAATTAAAGTTAAACAATTATTAATTGATTCTTACATGAATGTATTTGTATGAATTAACTTATTTATGCATTTTAATCAATTACTTCTATTTATCACATTTCAATGTGGGTAACATCTGCATTCCACCTTACTAGTTAATCCTTTTCAGTCTCCAATATCACACATGTTAATACAAGCTAGTCAGTCATTTAATGGTGTCTCTCCTCTTTAACTAGTTAAGTACTAGTGAAGATAGGAAATACTAGTGACCTTGTTGTATTATTCAGGTGTTTGCACTCCAGGGTCATCAGTCACAAAAAAGGTGTTGGCACCAAAACTTCAAAAGAAAAATTGTGACACAATCTACCTTAATTATTTCATGAAACATATCAGATCAAGTTACACCTATAAATATTATAAATAATAGTTCCATAAATTTTGTCATTTATTTTTCAGATTCACCCAAACACACCACAGTGTCAGTCAGTCCCTCTGGTCCAGTACCAGAAGACAGCACTGTGACTCTGACATGCAGTAGTACTGCCAACCCAGCAGTAAGGAACTACACCTGGTACAGAGCTGATGGAGGCCAGGAGACTTTTATTGGGACCGGACCTGTTTTAAACATTAAAGCTTCTGAAGTCAGTGGTCCTTTTTTCTGCAAGGCTGAAAATGATCTTGGAGCTGGACGATCCAACATCAGTCAAATAGACGTTCAGTGTAAGTATCAAATTTCAAACTTAAAATGCTCTATATACTCTGATAGGTCGAGCTGTATGCAGTACACTGATTTACATATAATAATATGTTTTCATTTATTGGCTAATTTAGATATTTAAGGTATGTTTAGGATTTTAAAATGTCCAACTTTAGCACCACTGTGTTGTTATCAAAAACTAGACTTTTGCATTCCACCTTTCTAGTTCATCCTTTTCAGTCTTCAATATTACACACGTGTTAATACAAGCTAAACAGTCATTTAATGGTGTCTCTCCTCTTTAACTTGTTGAGTAGTGAAGATGGGAAATACTAGTGACCATGTTGTATTATTCAGGTATTTGCACTCCAGGGTCATCAGTTACAAAAAAGTGTCGGCACTATAACTTTATAAGAAAATCGTAACATTTTCTCACTTTATTATTTCATAACAAATATTAGATCAAATTTCACCCATAAAAAATACAAATAATGTTTCCATAAATGTTATCATTTCTTTTTCAGATTCACCCAAACACACCACAGTGTCAGTCAGTCCCTCTGGTCCAGTACCAGAAGACAGCACTGTGACTCTGACATGCAGTAGTACTGCCAACCCAGCAGTAAGGAACTACACCTGGTACAGAGCTGATGGAGGCCAGGAGACTTTTATTGGGACCGGACGTGTTTTAAACATTAAAGCTTCTGAAGTCAGTGGTCCTTTTTTCTGCAAGGCTGAAAATGATCTTGGAGCTGGACGATCCCACATCAGTCAAATAGACGTTCTGTGTAAGTATTGCATGAGTAAAACCCAGGCACAATTCAGTTTATCTAAAGATTCTATTTAGTCATTCATTCATTATCTTTATTTTATTTTGTAATTTTTTTCCCCCAAAGCTCCCTGGTAGCTCACCAGCGTGCCCCATAAGAATATCATTTAATATAATTATTGATACAATGTCTTCAGTAAGATGTTAACAAAATGTCTTAATTGATGCAATAAATAAGCAGGTCAGATTTAGAGTTTTGTGAAAAACAAAACAAAAAATGATAATGAACATTTTTTACTCTAAACACACAAATCTCACCACATGTGGTCAGCAGGCTCTCGTCTCATTGATATTATCCTCATTTTGGTGATAGGAGTTCAGTTGGAAACAATATTAAACCTCATGAGATATAGTTTTTAGTCCCATTCATAGTAATTAGACTCTTTCACAGTTTTCCAACTACAGTACTCCTTCAGTTACTTAAACAAATTGAAGCCAGTGATTCAGTGTATCGACAGCTCTTTAACACCTTCAAATCTTCCACCTTTTACAGGTTATTGATATTATTTAACTTTTAGATCCAGCAATATAAAAGTGTTGCGTAAACTGTTCAACGGCTCTTCAATTATTCCACATCATTGAAAGAATTTCAAAACCAGTAATTCAGCCTAGCGTAGGCCGTTCAGCAGTCTGCATTCACACACATTCTCTAGTTATATGAGAGGTTGTACGTTACATCTAAGAGGTGTCTCTAATATTTAGTCTAGTAATAGTATGAGGCAAGATTAGAACCGTGACCGTCACTGTTCAAATATGGTCTTTTGTGTCCGATGTAAATAACCTCTTTGTTCTTTCTTGTTCCATCCACTGACTCTGGGTAATAACCAATTCCCAGTCAATGCTCTGATGTTTCTAACTGGTTTAAATAATTATATATATATATATTTTTACAATTTATTGACTTCATTTGGCTCCCTTTAGTTACCACAGGCCCTCATCAGTATAGAAGTCAATTCTTTGATAAAATCAGGCAAATACACTAACAGATAACTAAATATGTCATTAGTTAACCCACTTGTAAAACTAACCTAACCCTGGGTTAATATGGCTACAAACAATTCCTTTATTCCTGTGGTAACAAGACACACAAATGAGCACAGAAAAGACCCTCAATGTGGAAAATGATTGACTTTGCATTAAGTTTGTCTTCACTTGCAACTTACAGTTATTGTGATATCAGTACATCTTGTCATTTATTTTTGCAAACTTGATTAAACATGACTATTACAAGCTTGACTCAGACATGTGACAGCAGAGGGAGTCAACACACACAAATGTCCAAAGCCAAAATAATTTATAGGAAAATAAGAGTTAGGATGTATGTGTGACTAAACTAAGAAGGCGTGGATTTTATTTTATACCTTTGACCCCTCCCAGTAAAGGAAGCCACATGGGCTGTCACAAACTTCATTCTTAACTTGTCTGTCTTCTCTACATTCATTACAGTTGCTCCACAGATCCTGCCCTCATTTTATTGCATCAAAACTGCAGACCAGCTCAACTGTTCCTGTGAGACTGTGGGAAAACCTTCTCCCTCTTTACAGTGGTATTTGGATGGTTTACCTGTCAATCACTCTGACAAGTTTGCAATCAGCAATGAGCTTCTAAATGAGACAAGGCTGAAGATAATCATCACTGTGAATCAACCACAGGAGAGGGATCTTTCCACTTTGCTCTGCCGCAGCTCCAACTCTCTGGGATCTGCAAGTCAACCTTTTTATGTTCTTCAAACATCTGCAGAAAGTCAAGGTTTGTCATATAGTACTATTGATTAGTTGGAAATGATCAGGATTTCTTCACCTTTTATTTCATTCGTTTATTTAGTGACAAGGTTTTTCTTTTATAATAATAAAAGTAGTGATGCACTGTAACCAGTCCCCAACCAGGATGATTGAGCCACTGTTGCATCAATGACAGGGATATGATATGTGAAGTGTTATTGTTGTTTCTTGTGACAGGTCTTCAGCAACATTGTGGACAGTACTGTGGAATTCTTCTATTGGCTGTTGCTGGTGTCTCTCTCAGTGTGAACGTCTTGTACACAATCTACGTGGTGTTCCTTTGGTATGTATGTCATTACAGTGGATTATATTTTTATAAAAGCTCTGCTGATGAATAGCAATGTTGTTTTCAGAAAATATTGAATATATACTTTTATTTTTCTTTCTCCTCAAAGTAAAAGAAGAAAGAGTGTGAAGCCAAAAGAAGAGGAGATGACTTACATGTCTTTGGATCGTAGAGACACATCTCCAGAGTATGATGTCATTGCCCAAACTCCAAAATGACTCCCTCTACTTCCACTGATGATGAGCTTGATGATTATCACATAACATTGCTTAATGATTTATTGTATATCTTATACTGAGGCAAAAGCTCATCCTTCATCACCTTGCTCTCTCTTGCAGTGCCTTAAACTTCCACTTAGTGATATCAGTGTTTATGTATCAATTATCTAACATTGAACAACTATACAATGTAATGTAAATAAATACTTTCTATATGAATCTTCAAATGCTCGCTTTTGTAGAAATGTTTTAAACTTCAACAGAAAGGTTATTGATTATGCTATATGGTCATTTTTAGGTACTGAGGTTTTCATGTTTGTTGGTATACATATGTATGGTATACATACTGTTGTGTCTCGTCAAGTGTGTTAATTTTAGTCATGTTCATGTTTAGTGTTTCATATTTAGTCCTTCCTGTTTTATTTTGTACTCACCTTTTCCCTCACATTTCAGACCCTGACTTCTTCCCTTTGTGTGATTTTCCCTTCTTTGTAATTTTCTGCCCCGCCCCTGATTGTTTTCACCTGTTTTCACTTACACCTGGTATAAATAGTCCTTGTCTCCCTTTGTCTTTGTCAGTTTGTCTTGTTCAGATTGTGAAAAGTATTGTCATGTGTTCCAGCCAGAGTTTTTTCATGTTTCGATTAAGGTTTGTTTGAAGTTTTTATCCTTGTTGTGAGCACCTTTTGTTTTCTTCTTTTTTCAACAATAAATAAACAATAAATACCCCTTTTGTACATCTTCATCAGTCCCTGAGTCGTGCGTTTGAGTCCACCAGAATTGTGTCTTAGGTCGTGACACGTACATGTTTTTCTCATGAATAAGAGGACAGGATTTACAGGACTGGATCGAAGAGATAGTCTCAGAAACAGACGGTGTCAGCATCCACTGAGTGCTTTGTTGATTGTTTGACAATGACACTGAAATATTTCTCAACAAAATATTAGACCATTGTTCATTTCCTGTTTGTTCCCTGTTCCAAAGAGTAATTGTCTTTTAAAGCATGACCACAATTGTTAAATAACTTCAACCATACATTTGTTTTTTGTAATTTGTGATTTTAAACTGTTTCAGAAGGCTCAGACAAATGTTGTCTACCCGTCGATAGTGGACTTGTTGTAATACTATTTTGAATATCAACTAGAATTATCAGTGTGTCTGAACCCCTATTTGCTACAATAGGTGAGTACAATAACATGAGCACAATGTAATGTAAATAGCACTGTAGAGATAGTAGCTTTGAAGGGGTTATACTGCTTAATTATTGGTGAAACTGGATCACAGAGGTATTCACTTAACTTTGTGCTCATTTGAGTGTGTGGTGGTTTTATTTTGCACTCTGAACTGAATGAACATTCAATATGACATTCAATAAAAAAAGGTTCATACATACTGAACTGAACTCGACTCAATTAGATGATAAAATGTCTGTGTGCATATGACTGTGTTTGCCTTCCTTATCTGACGTGTGACGGTTAAAAAACATTTCTTGAAACAATTACAATTAAATATTTATTCATAAACTTATTTATAATAATTTCTAAGCTATATATGTTTCCCATAGTAAGTAAGAAAAAGTACACTTCATTGTTACATGAATCTGCACTTTTGTGACTTCCTCATTTTAAAGTTAATTCTTGCATTCTGTTGGAAACAGCAGCACAACTTTGAAGGAACTTCACTTCTCTATACATCTTTGCTCTGTCTACCTGGAAGACCTGAAGACAATGTAAGTCATCATAACTTCTACATGACACATATTACATAAGCAACATTTTTTTAAATGTACTATAAAATTAAAAAAATATAAACATGAGGTTACTTTGCTCTCAACAATTACAGTACAAAATTTCAAAGGTAGAAAAAAGAAAAGACAGAAATATGTGAAAGGTGGCAAAATCGTCCGATTGTGGTTTAAGAATGTTGAAACTAATTCTCTCAAATAAATTGTAACTTTGTAAATAAACTGAAAAAAAAAGACATAGTATGTTTGTCATTTTTTTCCTTTCACAAAACAGCATAGCTTCCTGTTTTTCATTTTTATTATCTATTAACTTTCTACGTCTTTTTTAACCAAAGCAGCATGTTGTAGCACTGAACTGAATGTTACAAAGGGTGGGTATTGATTAGACCTTGATTGAAGTATTGATTAATTTAACTGTTTAATTATAGTTTTTAAAGGAATGCAGTTATACGTCCCCTTATTCCTCTACGAATGATAAATAGCTGTGCTGTGTCACCGTGACCTCATGAAATGAAGAAACAGATCCGGATTGCAAAACGTTTCTTTGTCTGCAACCTCCACAAATATTAAATTAAATACTGGCTTCCAGGTGAACCCTACTGTAAAAATTAATGAGGGATGAAATGTACTAAAGATGTGAATTGTTCCATGTGTAATCTCCAGAGTTTCTGCCTCTCCTGACACACAAAGATGGCTGCAGCTCTGACTCTCCTTCTCATTGGCTGTCTGCTGCAGAGTGAGTTAAAGTTCATTCATATTTGGATCAATGACTATAAAACTATTAAAACCTATATCGACGCACTGCTAGTTAAGCATTCACACCACAGAACAGCAGTATCTATAATACATGGTGCACTAAATACATTTGATGGGTGAACAATTTTATTTATCTCGAAAAAATCTTTACAGTCTTCATTTTGGATTATTTTGTGAATAAAGGTATAGCGCTAAGATTCTAGCACGGAAACCAAACAGTCAAATTTCCTTCTTATTGTGAAGTAGTATTCACTTTTTCTCATTCACAGGTTTGTGTCTTGTGTTTCAGGTGTCCACTGTGGAGAGTTTAAGGTCACTACGCCGCAGACTATAGAGGTTCTGAGGGGATCCTGTGTGACCATCCCCTGCTCCTTTGATATAAAGGACGGATTTGGATCAGACTTAGATAGAACATGTAAAGCAATGTGGAAAAATGAACAAAGGACTGTTGTGTTTAACAGCAGTAATCCACAATCGTCTACAATAAAAGGAAATTTGACAGGAGACTTAACAAAAAGAGACTGCACCACAACCCTGAACAACATGCAACCTGAACACAGCAACAAATATTATCTCAAAGTGGAATGTGACAATCGCCTGAAATTTAATTTTAATCAACAAAAGTTGGACATTTCAGTAAAAAGTAAGGTTTTAAAGTCCATTTAGTTACACTTCAGTTGTTTATTTTTGTAGAACTGCTTTGACCTTGTTCTCCATTAATTGCACTTTTCATATAGTATATAAAATGGAGAAGAATTACATTTTTACTGACTGGTCAAAATGTACCTTCCCACCAGATGATCCTCCCAGACCGACTCTGACTCCGTCCACACTGGAGGTGGAGGAGGGAACCTCAGTGAGTTTGAAGTGCTCTGCTCCAGCTCCCTGTCTGTCTCATCCTCCAACTCTGACATGGACCCCCAGCCTGGGTCACAGTCAGGAGACACTGGAGGAGAATCAGGACAAAACTAAAGTCAAGGCCTCTGTTTTGACCTTCACTGCTTCTCACCTCCATCACAGACAGGAAATCTCCTTTACTGCCGTCTACAACAAACAAGATGGCAGCACTGAGTCATCTGCTAGCACAAGTTTAACAGCTGATATTTCATGTGAGTTGTACTTAACCATTAGTCGATCAACAGAAAAATAGTTCTCAACAATGCTATGGTAAGCGTACTGACTCATTTCCGGTTTACTTCCTGCTCTGTGTACACTGTTTGGTGCTGTAGCTCTGTCAGTGAACACTAAATATAAATTTGTTTTTCTCGTTACAGCGGTTATTTTCCCGCTTAAACATTTAAACGTAGACTATTTCTAACTAAACACTCGGAGTTACTACTTCTTTTAGCGACTTTTTCATACATTCTAGCTTCATTAGCATTAGCAGTTAGCTATGGCCTCTCCACTATCCTGCTCAGTGTGTGTTGAGGAATCTCTGTATTTCAAAAACTCATTCCTCGCGTGTTCTTTTAATGAAGCGATAGGGAGAAGATTTAGTTTACTCAATAATCAGCTTTATTCTTAACACCAGTAGAATGTGCAAAGTTTACAGAGCTCTGGGTTCAACTACAGTTAACATGACATGCACAAGGTCTGCCAGTTCACGAAGTCTGAGCCACCTCTTGTTTCTAACATCAGTTCTTATATTTTTGCAGATAACACACATAGCACAAGATGGTATAATCTCCACCCCTTGTCCTCTTGGTATCTTGTCTCCAACGATGGTGTTGATGGGGTAGCCAAAACCTGAGTTGTTTTTCACGACTGGAAGGAGTCCGTCCTGTGTTCTATCATTGTTTTTACGAGCTCCTGATACTGACCTCGGAGGCCGTGTTTGCCGCTATCTCTCCCAAAGAATGTCATGTTATATCTGCAACTACCCACACTCTTCTCCCTTATACTGTGCCTGCTATTCATATTTATTAGTAAGTTATAATTCTATAACACATCATACAAACATCTAATATTCATTACTTTATTTCTGTTATTAGTATTCCCTTAACAGCCCTTTATCAATGTAAGCATAATCAATGTAAGCACAAGAAAACATATTTCTATTCTAGTTAATAATCATACAGGTAAATATATAGAGTATAAATCACAGAATATCGCAACATGTGTCAGATGTTGGTTAGTTATTCCTCTGCCTCCTTTAATGATAATGGTTCTTTTATTAACTGTAGTTTATTTACTGCGCTGGAGGCGAGGCTTAGTGAGTTAGAGGAACGGCACCGCACCACGGAGATATCTTTAGCCGCTATAGTTAGCCAGCCCCCAGTAGCCGGTGCGGCCCAACGAAGGTAGCTTCTGCTAGCCGTCCTCCGGTAGTTCCCCCGGTAGATCCTCCGGTAGATCCTGAGCAGCCGGGAAGACAGGGAGGCTGGGTGACTGAATGAAAGAAGAATAAAACGCTGAAGCCCACAGTTCACCACCAACCCATTCATGTTTCTGCTACATTGTCCCCACTCAGCGACACACCCGCTGAGGAACCAACTCTGGTTATTGGCAGCTCCATAGTCAGAAACGTGAAGTTAGTGAAGCCATAGTTAAATGTATCCCTGGGGCCAGAGCGGGCGACATTGAATCCTATTTAAAATAGACTGTGTCTGTCCCCCGACCACCTAAATTATTTAAAGAAATACAAACAAGAGGAGTTCAACATAAAAACCTAATAAAAATTAAATCTCCTCAGTAGCACAAAATAAATGAATGAAATGTGGACTGTTAAATATCAGGTCTCTGTCTTCAAAAGCTGTTTTAGTGAATGAATTCATATCAGATTATGATATTGATTTACTTTGTCTTACTGAGACCTGGTTGTCCCACGAGGAGTATGTTAGCCTAAATGAATCCACCCCCAGTCATATTAATACTCACATTCCTCGAGGCACCGGCTGATAATTCATTTGAAAGCCTTGTTCTTAGTCTTTTCACCCAAACTGGAAAACACTGCAGCCAGTTCTATTTGTTATAGTGTACCGCGCTCCTGGACCGTACTCTGATTTTATTTCTGAATTCTCCGATTTTTTATCAAGTTTAGTCGTTAAATCAGATAAAGTAATTATTGTAGGTGATTTTAATATCCATGTGGATGTTAACAATGACAGCCTTAGTAATGCATTTATATCATTAATAGACTCAATTGGCTTCTGTCAGAGTGTAAATAAACCAACTCATTGTTTTAATCACACTCTTGACCTTGTTCTATCATATGGCATTGATATTGAACATTAAATAGTCTTCCCACATAATCCTTTCCTATCTGACCATTATTTAATAACTTTTGAATTCATATTATTAGATTATAAGCCATTACGCAAAACTTCCTACAGCAGATGTCTATCTGGCAGTGCTGTAGCTAAATTTAAGGAGGAGATTCCTTCAGTGTTTAATTCAATGCCATGTCTGAATTTAACAGAGTCCTATAACGACTTTAGTCCCTCTGAAATTGATAATCTTGTCGATAGTGCTTTAGGCTCACTACGATCAACATTAGACTCTATCGCTCCTATAAAAAGGAAATTATTAAAACATAGGAAACGAGCACCGTGGTACAACCACCAAACCCGCCAGTTAAAGCAAATAGCTAGGGAATCTGAAAGGAAATGGCACTCTTCCAAATTATCAGTTATTATCACTCAATTTGGCAAGATAATCTTAAAATTTAACCCTGTACTGTAGCACTGTAGCCAGGCTGACAGAGAGCCACAACTATATTGAGCCACATATCCCCATAACCTTAAGTAGCAATGACTTCATGAGCTTCTTTTATAATAAAATTATTACTATTAGAGAGAAAATTAATCACCAACTGCCATCAACAGTTATCAGTGGCTCTCCAAGTTCAGGGATTTTTACTAATGTAAACTTAGATATATATTTAGACTGTTTTTCTGCTATCGATCTTCATCAGTTAACTTTAATAATTTCTTCATCGAAGCCATCAACCTGTCTATTAAACCCGATCCCAACTAGGCTGGCTGCTTAAAGAAGTTGTTCCCTTAATTGGCACTTCTTTACTGGATATGATTAATCTTTCTTTATTATCAGGATATGTACCACAGTCCTTTAAAGTAGCTGTAATTAAACCCCTTCTTAAAAAGCCCACTCTTGACCTAGGGGTTTTAGCCAACTATAGACCGATTTCTAACCTCCCCTTCCTCTCTAAGATTCTGGAGAAGGTAGTCGTCAAAGAGTTGCGTGACTTTCTACATAACAATAGTTTATTTGAGGATTTTCAGTCAGGATTTAGAGTTCTTCATAGCACAGAGACAGCTCTGGTTAAAGTTAAAAATGACCTTCTGATTGCTTCTGACAATGATGTCTCTGTATTTGTATTATTAGATCTTAGTGCTGCATTTGACACCATTGACCATAATATTCTTTTACAGAGACTTGAGCTTGATGCTCAAGGCATTAAAGGAACCGCACTAAGCTGGTTTAAGTCATATTTATCAGATCGTTCGCATTATGTACATGTTAACGATGAATCTTCAATAAATACTACAGTCAGTCATGGAGTTCCACAAGGTTCTGTACTTGGACCAATACTATTTACTTTATATATGCTCCCTTTAGGCAACATTATTAGGAATCACTCCATTAACTTTCACTGTTATGCAGATGCTATCGATCAAGCCCGATGAAATTAATCAATTATCTAAATTACAAACATGTCTTAAGGACATAAAATCCTGGATGAGCAGCAATTTTCTGATGTTAATCTCAGAAAAAAACGAAATTCTTGTTCTTGGCCCCAAAAACCTTAGGGACTCACTGTCTAAAGATATAGTTACTCTAGATGGCATTACCTTGGCCTCTAGCACCACTATCAGGAATCTTGGAGTTATCTTTGATCAGGATTTGTCATTTAACTCCCACATAAAGCAAACCTCCAGGACTGCCTTGTTTAATTTACGTAATATTACAAAAAATTAGACACATACTATCACAGACAGATGCAGAAAAAGTAATCCATGCATTTGTTACTTCAAGGCTGGATTACTGCAACTCTTTATTATTAGGTTGCACCAATAAGTCCATTAAAATGCTCCAATTAATTCAGAACCCTGCAGCACGAGTACCGACAGGAACTAGGAAAAGAGATCACATCTCTCCTGTACTAGCTTCTCTGCACTGGCTCCCTGTAAAATGTAGAATAGAATTTCAAATCCTCCTCCCCACCTATAAAGCTCTTCATGGTCAGGCCCCTTCATATCTTAATGAGCTCATAGTACCCTATTACCCCACTAGAACACTACGTTCTCTGAATGCTGGGCTACTTTCCTATAGGCCAGAGCCTTCAGTTACCAAGCTCCTCTCCTGTGGAACCAGCTTCCAGTTGTGGTTCGCGAGGCAGACACCCTCACCACATTCAAGAGTAGGCTTAAGACGATCAGGTGAGCCCTGAACCATCCCTTAGTTATGCTACTATAGGCCTAGACTATCAAGGGGATTTCCCATGGTGCACTGAGCTCCTCTCATCGTCTCTCTTTCTGCATTCATGTTCCATTAATGCATGTTACTAACTTCACTTCTTCCCCGGAGTTCTTGTGCTTTCTCGTCTCGCAGGTTCTTATGGATTCTGGTGGAGCCTCCTGCCATGGTCCTGCTAGATTGCCATTACCAATACTGTTGTTACTGTGCGTCTGTCTGTCTGTCTGTCTGTCTGTCTCTCTCTTTCACCCCAACTGGTCGAGACAGACGACCACCCACCTAGAGCTGAAGGATCTGTCCTAGGTTTCTGCCTTTTAACAGGCAGTTTTTCCTTGCCCTTGTCGCCAAGTGCTTGCTCATGGTGGTACTGTTGGGTCTCTGTAATTAATGTTATAAAGAGTTCGGTCTAGACCTGCTCTATTTGAAAAGTGTCCTGAGATAACTTCTGTTATGAATTGGCGCTATACAAATAAAATTGAATTGAATAGAATTGATCAATGTTGACAGGTGATTAATCATTCATGTTTTTTTTTTTTTTTTCAAAAAGACATGTAAACAAGTAAAAGTTCCCTGTTCTCAAAATATGAGGACTTGCTCAATTCTGTTTTATTCCATTGTAAATTGATTTTCTGAGAACAGTTTTTTTGGAAGACACGTAACACATTAACTGTAATGGATATTATTTTTTACAGATTTCCAACATTTTACAGACTCAACGATTAATGATTAATGATCGATTGTAAAAGTATCGAAAGACTAACTGAAAATTGAAAATAATCATTAGTTGCAGCTTGCTAGTTTAAATGTGACATCTATTACTTTGGAAAACAGCAGTCTCCATGCAATGCTTATGCATTACAATTAAGAAATTAATTCATATAGGCTTCAAAACAGTCCAATAAGTGGGTGGAAGTATAGAAACAGAAATATTGCCAGCTGCTGTTGTTGATAACTAACAAGCTTTATCCTTTGTTGATGAATCAAAGTGGAGTTGGTAGGATCCTCCTCACAAAAGTAAAAAAACATTTTTTTTATCTGGAATGCATTTAACCTAAAAGGATGCGCATAAAACATGACACATGACTTTATTTCATTCCAAATATCAGATTACATACCACCTATGAATGACACTAATTATTATTTTTTCAGATTTACCCAAACACACCACAGTGTCAGTCAGTCCCTCTGGTCCAGTACCAGAAGACAGCACTGTGACTCTGACATGCAGTAGTACTGCCAACCCAGCAGTAAGGAACTACACCTGGTACAGAGCTGATGGAGGCCAGGAGACTTTTATTGGGACCGGACGTGTTTTAAACATTAAAGCTTCTGAAGTCAGTGGTCCTTTTTTCTGCAAGGCTGAAAATGATCTTGGAGCTGGACGATCCAACATCAGTCAAATAGACGTTCAGTGTAAGTATCAAATTTCAAACTTAAAATGCTCTATATACTCTGATAGGTCTAGCTGTATGCAGTACACTGATTTGCATATAATAATATGTTTTCATTAATTGGCTAATTTAGATATTTAAGGTATGTTTAGGATTGTAAAATGTCCAACTTTAGCACCACTGTGTTGTTATCAAAAAATTTATTTTTGCATTCCACCTTACTAGTTAATACTTTTCAGTCTCCAATATCACACACATGCTAATACAAGCTAGTCAATCATTTAATGGTGTCTCCCCTCTTTAACTTGTTAAGTACTAGTGATAGGAAATACTAGTGACCTTGTTGTATTATTCAGGTATTTGCACTCCAGGGTCATCATTTACAAAAACGGTGTCGGCACTATAACTTTAGAAGAAAATAGTGACATAATCTCACTTTATTATTTCATGACTTCATGAATATAATATCAAATTACACCCATTAAAAAAAAATCATTTATGTTTCAGATTCACCCAAACATACCACAGTGTCAGTCAGTCCCTCTGGTCCAGTAACAGAAGACAGCACTGTGACTCTGACATGCAGTAGTACTGCCAACCCAGCACTAAGGAACTACACCTGGTACAGAGCTGATGGAGGCCAGGAGACTTTTATTGGGACCGGACGTGTTTTAAACATTAAAGCTTCTGAAGTCAGTGGTCCTTTTTTCTGCAAGGCTGAAAATGATCTTGGAGCTGGACAATCCAACATCAGTCAAATAGACGTTCAGTGTGAGTACAACTGTTTTTCGTTACCTAAACCCAGGCAACATTTTATGAATCAATTTCTTACTGCAGAGTAAATGTGACATTGTGTCTATAAATTTATTTATAATCATGGGCCATGGTGTCTTACCTTGAGTGTTTGCACCATATTAAGGCCTTACCACAGCTCTTTGCATTATGATAGTCTTCAATTACAACTTCCAACCGTTCTTTTGATATCAGTATCTTGATATTAATTGTATTTATTTTTAAAATGACTGTTACAAGCGTGCCTCAGGCGTGTGACCACATAGGAAGTCAAAACACACATAAAGGTCGAAAGCCAAATTAATTTATAAGAAAATTCTATGACAGTCAGCAATTTTATGAGCTTCAAACATCTGCAGAAAGTCACGGTTTGTCATAGTTAATACAAGTACTATTAATTAGTTGGAAACTATTAGGATTTCTTGACATTTTATTTTATTAATTTATTTATTTAGCTTACAACTGCCCATATGCATATTGTAAGGATATGATATGTAGAGAATTATTGTTGTTTCTTGTGACAGGTCTTGAGCAACATTGTGGACCGTACAGTGGAATTCTTCTCTTGGCTGTTGCCGGTGTCTCTCTCAGTGTCAACGTCTTGTACACAATCTACGTGGTGTTCCTTTGGTATGTATGTTATTACAGTGGATTATATATTTTTATAAAAGCTCTGCTGATGAATAGCACTGCTGTTTTTAGAAAATATTGAATATATATTTCTATTTTTCTTTCTCCTCAAAGGAAAGGAAGAAAGAGTGTGAAGCCAAAAGAAGAGGACATGACTTACATGTCTTTGGATCGTAGAGACACATCTCCAGAGTATGATGTCATTGCCCAAACTCCAAGATGACTCCCTCTACTTCCACTGATGATGAGCTTGATGATTATCACATAACATTGCTTAATGATTTATTGTATATCTTATACTGAGGCAAAAGCTCATCCTTCATCACCTTGCTCTCTCCTGTAGTGCCTTAAACTTCCACTTAGTGATATCAGTGTTCATGTATCAATTATCTAACATTGAACAACTATACAATGTAATGTAAATAAATACTTTCTATATGAATCTTCGAATGCTCGCTTTTGTAGAAATGTTTTAAACTTCAACAGAAAGGTTATTTTTTAGGTACTGAGGTTTTCATGTTTGTTGGTATACATATGTATGGTATACATACTGTTGTGTCTCGTCAAGTGTGTTAATTTTAGTCATGTTCATGTTTAGTGTTTCATATTTAGTCCTTCCTGTTTTATTTTGTACTCACCTTTTCCCTCACATTTCAGACCCTGACTCCCTCCCTTTGTGTGATTTTCCCTTCTTTGTAATTTTCTGCCCTGCCCCTGATTGTTTTCACCTGTTTTCACTTACACCTGGTATAAATAGTCCTTGTCTCCCTTTGTCTTTTTCAGAGTTTTTTCATGTTTTGATTAAGGTTTGTGTGAGCTTTTCTTTTGCAATTTTATCCTCCTTGTGATCGCCCTTTGTTTTTCAACAATAAATAAACAATAAATACCCCTTTTGTACATCTTCGTCAGTCCCTGAGTCATGCATTTGAGTCCACCAGAATTGTGTCTTAGGTCGTGACACATACATGTCTTTCTCATGAATAAGAGGACAGGATTTACAGGACACTGGATCGAAGAGATGAGTCTCAGAAACAGACGGTGTCAACATCCACTGAGTGCTTTGTTGATTGTTTGACAATGACACTGAAATATTTCTCAACAAAATATTAGACCATTGTTCATTTCCTGTTTGTTCCCTGTTCCAAACAGTAATTGTCTTTTAAAGCATGACCACAATTGTTATATAACTTCAACCATACATTTGTTTATTGTAATTTGTAATTTTAAACTGTTTTAGAAGGCTCAGACAAATGTTGTCTACCTGTCGATAGTGGACTTGTTTGAATATCCAACTAGAATTATCAGTGTGTCTGAACCCCTATTTGCTACAATAGGTGAGTACAATAACATGAGCACAATGTAATGTAAATAGCACTGTAGAGATAGTAGCTTTGAAGGGGTTATACTGCTTAATTATTGGTGAAACTGGATCACAGAGGTATTCACTTAACTTTGTGCTCATTTGAGTGTGTGGTGGTTTTATTTTGCACTCTGTTATATGTTTGGTTGTAAATTTGTCTTTTACATACAATACATACATATAGAGACCATGTACGTTAACAACACGGCAAACGACTGCATCAGCTATCACTGAACTGAATGAACATTCAATATGACATTCAATAAGAAAAAAGGTTCATACATACTGAACTGAACTCGACTCAATTAGATGATAAAATGTCTGTGTGCATATGACTGTGTCTGCCTCCCTTATCTGACGTGTGACTGTTAAAAAACATTTCTTGAAACAATTACAATTAAATATTTATTCATAAACTTATTTATAATAATTTGTAAGCTATATATGTTTCCCATAGTAAGTAAGAAAAAGTACACTTCATTGTTACATGAATCTGCACTTTTGTGACTTCCTCATTTTAAAGTTAATTCTTGCATTCTGTTGGAAACAGCAGCACAACTTTGAAGGAACTTCACTTCTCTATACATCTTTGCTCTGTCTACCTGGAAGACCTGAAGACAATGTAAGTCATCATAACTTCTACATGACACATATTACATAAGCAACATTTTTTAAATGTACTATAAAATTCAAAAAATATAAACATGAGGTTACTTTGCTCTCAACAATTACAGTGCAAAATTTCAAAGGTAGAAAAAAGAAAAGACACTAAATATGTGAAAGGTGGCAAAATCGTCCGATTGTGGTTTAAGAATGTTGAAACTAATTCTCTCAAATAAATTGTAACTTTGTAAATAAACTGAAAAAAAAGACATAGTATGTTTGTCATTTTTTTTCCTTTCACAAAACAGCATAGCTTCCTGTTTTTCATTTTTATTATCTATTAATTTTCTACGTCTTTTTTAACCAAAGCAGCATGTTGTAGCACTGAACTGAATGTTACAAAGGGTGGGTATTGATTAGACCTTGATTGAAGTATTGATTAATTTAACTGTTCAATTATAGTTTTTAAAGGAATGCAGTTATACGTCCCCTTATTCCTCTACGAATGATAAATAGCTGTGCTGTGTCACCGTGACCTCATGAAATGAAGAAACAGATCCGGATTGCAAAACGTTTCTTTGTCTGCAACCTCCACAAATATTAAATTAAATACTGGCTTCCAGGTGAACCCTACTGTAAAAATTAATGAGGGATGAAATGTACTAAAGATGTGAATTGTTCCATGTGTAATCTCCAGAGTTTCTGCCTCTCCTGACACACAAAGATGGCTGCAGCTCTGACTCTCCTTCTCATTGGCTGTCTGCTGCAGAGTGAGTTAAAGTTCATTCATATTTGGATCAATAACTATAAAACTATTAAAACCTATATCTACACACTGTTAGTTAGGCATTCAAACCACAGAACAGCAGTATCTTTGATACATGGTGCACTAAATACATTTGATGGGTGAACAATTTTATTTATCTTGAAAAAATCTTTACAGTCTTCATTTTGGATTATTTTATGAATAAAGGTATAGCGCTAAGATTCTAGCACGGCAACCAAACAGTCAAATTTACTTCTTATTGTAAAGTAGTATTCACTTTTTCTTATTCACAGGTTTGTGTCTTGTGTTTCAGGTGTCCACTGTGGAGAGTTTAAGGTCACTATGCCGCAGACTATAGAGGTTCTGAGGGGATCCTGTGTGACCATCCCCTGCTCCTTTGATATAAAGGACGGAGTTGGATCAGACTTAGATAGAACATGTAAAGCAATGTGGAAAAATGAACAAGGGACTGTTGTGTTTGACAGCAGTAATCCACAATCGTCTACAATAAAAGGAAATTTGACAGGAGACTTAACAAAAAGAGACTGCACCACAACCCTGAACAACATGCAACCTGAACACAGCAACAAATATTACCTCAGAGTGGAATGTAACAATCGCCTGAAACAAAATTTTAATCAACAAAAGTTGGACATTTCAGTAAAAAGTAAGGTTTTAAAGTCCATTTAGTTACACTTCAGTTGGTTATTTTTGCAGAACTGCTTTGAACTTGTTCTCCATTAATTGCACTTTTCAAATAGTATATAAAATGGAGTAGAATTACATTTTTACTGACTGGTCAAAATGTACCTTCCCACCAGATGATCCTCCCAGACCGACTCTGACTCCGTCCACACTGGAGATGGAGGAGGGAACCTCAGTGAGTTTGAAGTGCTCTGCTCCAGCTCCCTGTCTGTCTCATCCTCCAACTCTGACATGGACCCCCAGCCTGGGTCACAGTCAGGAGACACTGGAGGAGAATCAGGACAAAACTAAAGTCAAGACCTCTGTTGTGAACTTCACTGCTTCTCACCTCCATCACAGACAGGAAATCTCCTGTACTGCCGTCTACAACAAACAAGATGGCAGCACTAAGTCATCTGTTAGCACAAGTTTAACAGCTGATATTTCATGTGAGTTAATTTGTTATCTGTGATATTAAGACAGATACAAATGTGTTATTTTATTGTAGTAGTTATTGTCAACAGCAACCTCCAGGTAAATACCATTTAATTATTGCTATAATTTAAACTTCACCCAATTTGACTTAACTCTTATGTTTTCTGTACATAACAGTTGCTCAAGTAGCATAATCTGCCTTTTTTATTTCATGACAAACATCAGGGCAAATTAAACCAATGAATAATACAAATAATGTTTCCATAATTGTAATCATTTCTTTTTCAGATTCACCCAAACACACCACAGTGTCAGTCAGTCCCTCTGGTCCAGTACCAGAAGACAGCAATGTGACTCTGACATGCAGTAGTACTGCCAACCCAGCAGTAAGGACCTACACCTGGTACAGAGCTGATGGAGGCCAGGAGACTTTTATTGGGACCGGACGTGTTTTAAACATTAAAGCTTCTGAAGTCAGTGGTCCTTTTTTCTGCAAGGCTGAAAATGATCTTGGAGCTGGACGATCCAACATTAGTCAAATAGAGTTTCAGTGTGAGTATCACATGATTACAACTGTTTATTTTACTGACTGAAACCCCACCTTTGCACAGAGGGCTTTTCGCTTGTTTATTCAAAGTTTATTAACATTGAATGTGTCCCATATCCAAATTGTGCCAAGTTTGACACTACACTTCCTTGGGTCCCCAGAGATACAGTCATTTTTGCTAACTTGATTAAACATGACTTTACTTGACTCTTAACTTGTCGGTCTTCTCTATATTCATTACAGTTGCTCCACAGATCCTGTTCTCCTCTGATTGCACCAAAACTGCAGACCAGCTCAACTGTTCCTGTGAGACTGTGGGAAACCCTTCTCCCATTTTAGAGTGGTATTTGGATGGGTTACCCATCAATCACTCTGACAAGTTTGCAATCAGCAATGAGCTTCTGAATGACACAGCCCTGAGGAGCTTCATCGCTGTGAATCAACCACAGGAGAGGGATCTTTCCTCTTTGCTCTGCCGCAGCTCCAACTCTCTGGGATCTGCCAGTCAACGTTTTTGTGTCTACAGCCTTGAGCCTCGAACATCTACAGAAAATCATGGTTTGTCTTTGTGCTAAATACAAGTCCTCTTGATTAGTTGGAAACTATGAGAATCTGCACAGTATATATATTTCCATTCAGTGTTTTTGTTTTTACATTTTTTATTCTGTTGTCGGCTCCCAACTGTTTCACATACTGTACATACTGTATATGTAAGTGACATGTTAGTTAGTCACACTCTTGATTTCTGCTTCTAGAATTCATATCGATAATGTCTGTAGTGCAAATATTATATATTAATCACTTAACCTATTTCTTAGATTTTTTTTATTTTTACCTCTCTTCTATGAAAGTTTTATATACTACCAATACACGATGTAACACCTTAAAACAGATTATAATTGAGTTATGTGTTTAATACACCCACAGGAAAAACCCAGGAAGCTCCATGTATGTCTTCTTCACCAAATAATCCGAATATATATGTCTAATTCTGACAAACCTCCTTAATTTTCTGTTCTGTCTCATACATAATTCTCAGGTCAAGTTACGTTGCCCGTCTTCATCGTCACAGTCGGTGCACTTACAGCAGCACTAATATGTGCTCTACTGTTTGCTTTCAGGTAGGTAACAACTAGAGAAGCCATGAAACCCTGCACAGTAAAGCTTTTGTTGTTAACTTAACTCTAGTATAAATACTGACTCTATGTAGTGTTTGTCAGAACCAGTTTAAGTTTTCAAGCTTTAACAGACAATTTCTTGTGAATACACAAAATAATGAATAGTTTATGAATTTTAAAGTATGTAAAATCCCAATGGCCAGCAAGTCCACAACCCATATATAGCATACTGTATATAACAGCGACTGTTGCTGGTGCAATCTGTGATTCATAAGGTTATTTTATTGTTAATTCTGACATTTTTTAGCACTGATTATTATGTCTCTATAGAATAGTAATGTAAGTAAGTAATGATTGGCAGCTGTATTCTATCAGTGATAACTACAGTATATTATTTAAGTCATGCCAGTTAGAGTTTGTCTAACCTAATTTTGACTTTCTCTCTGAATAAACTTCTGCATTTTGTCAACTAATACATGATTTGGCTGAAAACCAAAATGGAAGTGAACATGTCAATGTAAATTGGATGGGGTGTCCTACTTTTTTTATTTTCAGGGCTCAGAGGACTGAGCGCCATAACCCTACAAAGAGCCAGTGTACAGGTGACACCAGCACAGCTGTGATGAGTCAAGATGTTACAAGTGAAAATAGAAATAAGGTACTGACTGTTTTATAATGTGGGTATTAAAAAGGGATAATCTAGTGGAATATCTGTACCACTGATTTTTTTCCCTTTCAGGTGTCTATCACATTAGAAGAAGATATTTACATCAACACCAACATGATCAGGGGGAAGATAAACCAAATTCTCATCGAGGACATCGACAGATATCCAGTAGAAGCTCAGAGAAGCAGAATGAGGAAAGCAGTGATGTGCTTTACTCCAGTGTGATTTGGAAGAGCAAGAGCAAGAAGAAGGGAGAACGTGCTGTGGAAAGGAACCTGTCTGGTAGCTCCTATCTGGAGGAGGAGAGGTCCATGGAGGGAGGCATGAGCAGAAATTACGTGAGCAATGCACGGGAGATGGAGAGTCTATATGGCAACACTGTGATTGGAAAAGATGCAAAGAAGGCAGAGTATAGTGAATATGCCGAGGTTCAATTTAGAGACAAAAATATTGTGCATAAATAGAACTTGTTCTGTGTAACTTTTGTTTAAACTGTTTCATTTGATAATTTGACTGTCTTTTACATGTACATACATTAAAAAATGAAGTGTCATTGGGCTGTAAATCGAATTGAATTATACAATGAAGCATCGTTGTTAATGTTAATGTGATTCCACTCCATGACAATGACAATTAATGACAGTCCTATACTATCTTTAAGTTTGTATGAATGTCTCAGTAACATGTCTTATAACACCAGGAGACAGAATTTCTGAATTGTGAAATGATTTGATGAACTGTGCTATTTCTATAGCTGCAGAAGTCGACTGTGCATGTTTGATCATCTTCTCCATACATATTATTTCTTAGCCAGTCTGGAGAGTTTTCAGCAAAATGACCTGGTAAGATTTAAGATTATATTGTATTTTAAATACAGCTTAGTTAGAATAATGTCTAATTGTGATTTATAAATTGTAATAAATGTATCATAAATATCAAAGTTGGTTTAAACAATGCATTTCATTTAAAGTATCCAGATATGCTACTAATTGTGTTAGTCAATTAAAGGTCCAATGTATAACATTCAGGAGGGTCTATGGGCAGAAACGGAATATAATTCATAAGTTTTCATTTGTGTACAGTCTCCTAAAAATGTGTTACTGAGACTGCACCACAAATTTGTAAAGTTGTTTTTTGTTAATGAGACGCTTTTATCTACAAAGGGAGCAGCTCCTCTTGTTGGGAGTCAATGGTGAGCCGCCATGTTTTTACAGTAGCCCAGAACGGTCAAAAACTGGAGTTGCTTGCACTAAATCGTACACACTGGTCATTGAACTTTTTTATGATTTAGATAGATATTAGATATTAGGTCTTCATGAGAATTTCTGTGATGATTATAAGACAACTTCACAAAAGGAATTCATGCATTTCTTATACTGAGACAACAGTGTATTTAGTAATCATGGCAAAAAAACACCTCTCAGAAGACACTGACATTTCATAGAAATAACCAATCTCCTGCTCAGTGTTACAGCACATGAACATACTGCCATCTAGTGTAAGTTAATGGTTATTTCTTCCTTTGCCAGGATAGCTGGAAATGACCTCACATAGGTGGGGAAAAGCAATAAGAGAAATTCAACCAGGACTCCAAAATACTACAAACTTTGTGGATGAACTTGGATTACTTCAGGCCAACCTGGACAAGACAGAGAAGATCTGGGGTTAGCGGGAGCAGATAGACTGAGTGAATAATGCAGTCGGTGCTGAAGGGGCTACAGGTGGCAGGAGAGGTGGAGGAAGGACACCAGATACAAAGTTAGTGGAGTTACTGCAGTCATCAACAGATCTGATTAGAGGAAAATTACCAAAAGTTATGCAGTATTTTTTTTTGTGTGTGTGTCATATGTTGTCAATTGCCACTTGCGGCTACATTTTATTGTTATTATTGATTATCTTGTTGACAATTTCATGCCTGGGTTTCAGGTTTCAGGTTAACGTAACATGCATGACTTTGGACTGTAAGAGGAAACGGGAACAACTGGAGTAAACTCACCAAGACACGGGGAGAACATACAAACTGAAAACTGAGATTAATATTAAATTGATCTCTTGACTTATTTGATTTACTTACTTTAGTTTTCAAGTACAATCTGTGATTGAAAGAGCAATATAGTCATTGTTAATTATTGTCCTATTCAGACTGCTGGATGATGTTTGTTGTCAACTTCCAGTAATATGTTGTACAGTGGTATGTTTCACTTTCATTACATCCTGCATTAAGTTCTCTCTTGTGGGATAGATGGGTGTAGAAGTTGGGTATTACACCTTACAACAACAAACCCCACAACATTAAAAATCAGATACAATGAATTAGACACAGTTTCCCAGAATTAGAGAAAACACTTTGAAAACAGTGAAGATCAGAACTGATGAGGAGTAATAAAATGTTTCTTTGGCAAGCTTGGTAAAAGGTGATGCCAGCATTCTTACTTTAGAAGACAAATGTTACATTTAACAATGCGTTTTATTATTAATTTTTCAGACTCACACAAACACACCACAGTGCCAGTCAGTTACTCTGGTCCAGTACCAGGGGGCAGTAATGTGACACTGACATAGTTGTGCCAACCCAGCAGTAATGAGCCTTTAATGGGAGCCAGACAAGTTTTAAACATTCCAATGCACTAAAGCTTTTTATAACAACAGTCTTTTTTTCTGCAAGGCTGAAAATGATATTGGAGCACAACAATCCAACAACAGTCAAATACATAATCAATATAAGTCTCATATTTCAATTTGAGTAAAATCTATTTAAATATTCATTAATTTGTATATGAAATTATTGTATTTATTGTGTTGCTTTGGTTGTTTATAAGTCATTGTGTAATTTGATATACTTTGATTGTACAATTAAATATCAATTCATAAACCTATTAATAATAAGTTGTAAGCTATATACAGTGGGTACGGAAAGTATTCAGACCCCTTTAAAATGTTCACTCTTTGTTTCATTGCAGCCATTTGCTAAAATCAAAAAAGTTCATTTTATTTCTCATTATTGTACACTCAGCACCCCATCTTGACAGAAAAAAACAGAAATGTAGAAATTTTTGCAAATTTATTTAAAAGAAAAACTGAAATATCACATGGTCATAAGTATTCAGACCCTTTGCTGTGACACTCATATTTAACTCACATGCTGTCCATTTCTTCTGATCCTCCTTGAGATGGTCCTGCTCCTTCATTGGAGTCTAGCTGTGTTTAATTAAACTGATTGAACTTGATTAGGAAAGGCACACACCTGTCTATATAAGACCTTACAGCTCACAGTGCATGTCAGAGCAAATGAGAATCATGAGGTCAAAGGAACTGCCCAAGGAGCTCAGAGACAGAATTGTGGCAAGGCACAGATCTGGCCAAGGTTATAAAAGAATTTCTGCAGCACTCAAGGTTCCTAAGAGCACAGTGGCCTCCATAATCCTTAAATGGAAGGAGTTTGGGACGACCAGAACTCTTCCTAGACCTGGCCGTCCAGCCAAACTGAGCCATCGTGGGAGAAGAGCCTTGGTGAGAGAGGTAAAGAAGAACCCAAAGATCACTGTGGCTGAGCTCCAGAGATGCAGTAGGGAGATGGGAGAAAGTTCCACAAAGTCAGCTATCGCTGCAGCCCTCCACCAGTCTGGGCTTTATGGCAGAGTGTTCCGACGGAAGCCTCTCCTCAGTGCAAGACATATGAAAGCCCGCATAGAGTTTGCCAAAAAACACATGGAGGACTCCCAGACTATGAGAAATAAGATTCTCTGGTCTGATGAGACCAAGATCGAACTTTTTGGCGTTAATTCTAAGTGGTATGTATGGAGAAAACCAGGCACTGCTCATCACCTGCCCAATACAATCCCAACAGTGAAACATGGTGGTGGTGGCAGCATCAGGCTATGGGGATGTTTTTCAGCTGCAGGGACAGGACGACTGGTTGCAATCGAAGGAAAGATGAATGCGGCCAAGTACAGAGATATCCTGGAAGAAAACCTCTTCCAGAGTGCTCAGGACCTCAGACTGGGCCAAAGGTTCACCTTCCAACAAGACAATAACCCTAAGCACACAGCTAAAATAACAAAGGAGTGGCTTCGGAACAGCTCTGTGACCATTCTTGACTGGCCCAGCCAGAGCCCTGACCTAAACCCAATTGAGCATCTCTGGAGAGATCTGAAAATGGCTGTCCACCAACGTTCACCATCCAACCTGACAGAACTGGAGAGGATCTGCAAGGAAGAATGGCAGAGGATCCCCAAATCCAGGTGTGAAAAACTTGTTGCATCATTCCCAAGAAGACTCATGGCTGTAGTAGCTCAAAAGGGTGCTTCTACTCAATACTGAGCAAAGGGTCTGAATACTTATGACCATGTGATATTTCAGTTTTTCTTTTTTAATAAATTTGCAAAAATTTCTACATTTCTGTTTTTTTTTTCTGTCAAGATGGGGTGCTGAGTGTACATTAATGAGAAATAAATGAACTTTTTTGATTTTAGCAAATGGCTGCAATGAAACAAAGAGTGAAAAATGTAAAGCGGTCTGAATACTTTCCGTACCCACTGTATGTTTCCCATAGTAAGTAAGAAAAAGTACATTTTGTTGTCACAGGCGTATGCACTTTTGGGACTTCCTGATTTTACGGTAACTTCTTGTTGGCGGTTTGAAATAGCAGCACAACTGTGAAGGAACTTCACTTCTCAGTACTTCTTTGATCTGTCCGCTCGAAAGACCTGAAGAAAATGTAAGTCATCAGAACTTCTATATGATACATATCAAATCATCATTTATTTTAAATATAAAACAAGCTTCTTAAACTTAAAAATCAAGTTTTTTTCAGTTCGATCAGTGAACAATTTCAAAGGTATAAATAAGAAAAAACACCAAAGCTATGTGAAAGGAAAAAAATCTATTCAGATACTTTAAACTGTCATTAAATTGTGGTTTTGTTCCTGTTGAATAGTTGTAGAAAACAAATTGTAGATTGGTAAATACATGGAAAATTAACAAATAAAAGACATGATTTGTTTGCCATTTAACCATACAAAGGCCTATAGCTTCCTGTTTTTCCTTTTTATCATTTCACCGTCTATGCCTTGTTAACCAAAGCAGCATGCTATAGCACTGACACACTGAATGTTACAAAGTGTGGGACAATCAATTATTTTTTATTTTTGCAAATCTCTTCTGTTGAATATCTCCAACACCAAACTTTATTAAAAGCATGGGGAATTTGCAAGAACTGTATTTTAAATGAATAATGGTTTACTTAATTGTTCAAATATGTTTTTTAAAGAAAGGGATTTAAAAGCGGTCATACACCCCCTTTTTCTCTTACGAATAAATAGGTGAGCTGTATCGTTCTGCATTCATGAGGACTTAAACTCCATAAATAATTACATTTTGTCGGTATTCAATTGAGTGTTAGTGTCAGCACCCTTTACTGGCTTCTTTGGAAGATTAATAAAGTCTGAAAAAGTAAGAGGGTATCAAAACATTTCTCTATCTGCAACCTCTGCAAATATTGCATTCGATACTGGCTTCCAAATAAACCCTACTGTAAAAAGTTCATGAGGGATGAAATGTACTAAAGATGTTAATTGTTCCATGTGTAATCTCCAGAGTTTCTGCCTCTCCTGACACACAAAGATGGCTGCAGCTCTGACTCTCCTTCTCATTGGCTGTCTGCTGCAGAGTGAGTTAAAGTTCATTCATATTTGGATCAATGACTATAAAACTATTAAAACCTACAAAAAAACAATGTTATTCAAACCACAGTAAAACAGTATCTATAATGAATGTTGCATAAGAGATGCAGTGAGTTACAAAAGTGTTCTGCTGGATTCTTCTGAGAAAGTTAATTAGACGAGTGAATTTTTTTTTTATCTAAATATATAGGAAAAAAATACTATGGGAACAAATCAGACTCCTTGTAGTCCTCATTTTATTTTATTTTATTTTATTATAATGTATCACTTTATGAACAAGGGTATAGTGCTTTTTTTTACTACAGATTTTACCAAGGAAACCAAATTGACTTCTTATTGTAAAGTAGTATTCACTTTTTCTCATTCACTGTTAGTTAAGCATTCACACCACAGAACAGCAGTATCTATAATACATGGTGCACTAAATACATTTGATGGGTGAACAATTTTAAATTATCTAGAAAAAAGTTGTTTAATTTTGGATTATTTTATGAATAAAAGTTTAGTGCTAAGATTCTAGCACGGCAACCAAACAGTCAAATTTCCTTCTTATTGTAAAGTAGTATTCACTTGTTCTCATTCACAGGTTTGTGTCTTGTGTTTCAGGTGTCCACTGTGGAGAGTTTAAGGTCACTATGCCGCAGACTATAGAGGTTCTCAGGGGATCCTGTGTGACTATCCCCTGCTCCTTTGATATAGGGGACAGATTTAGATCAAACTTAGATGGAACCTGTAAAGTAGTGTGGAAAAACGAACAATGGACTGTTGTGTTTAACAGCAGTAATCCACAATCATCTGCAATAAAAGGAAATTTGACAGGAGACTTAACAAAAGAGACTGCACCACAACCCTGAACAACATGCAACCTGAACACAGCAACAAATATTACCTCAGACTGGAATGTGACAATGGCCTTTTTATTGGACAAAAGTTGGACATTTCAGTAAAAAGTAAGGTTCTAAAGTCCATTTAGTTACACTTCAGTTGTTTATTTTTGTAGAACTGCTTTGACCTTGTTCTCCATTAATCACATTTTTCAAAAAGTATATAAAATGGAGAAGAATTACATTTTTACTGACTGGTCAAAATGTACCTTCCCACCAGATGATCCTCTCAGACCGACTCTGACTCCGTCCACACTGGAGGTGGAGGAGGGAACCTCAGTGAGTTTGAAGTGCTCTGCTCCAGCTCCCTGTCTGTCTCATCCTCCAACTCTGACATGGACCCCCAGCCTGGGTCACAGTCAGGAGACACTGGAGGAGAATCAGGACAAAACTAAAGTCAAGACCTCTGTTGTGACCTTCACTGCTTCTCACCTCCATCACAGACAGGAAATCTCCTGTACTGCCATCTACAACAAACAAGATGGCAGCACTGAGTCATCTGTTAGCACAAGTTTAACAGCTGATATTTCACGTAAGTTAATTATTCCTCTGCTGAAATTTTTCATTTGGTGGTGGTTTTGCCTTATTTTGAATCAGTGCTGAAATAATTAATCAATTCATCCATTCAACATTTTTGTTTTCATAATAGGAGGATTTGCTGCTTTTGTCTCTTTTATATCATTGTAAACTGAATGTCTCTGTGTTTTGGACTGTTGATCAGGAACCAGGCTACTTGAAGACATTAATCTATCCTCTGGAATATTGGCATTTTATACAGTATACCAACATTTAATTGACTACATGACTAATTGATCAGTTGTTAAATTACAACAAATTAATAAAAAATAAAAACAATCATTAGTTGCAGCTCTAGTTTAAATGTGAAATCCATCACTTTGGAAAACAGCAACCTCCATGCTCCATTGTGAAGAATTGTCCCCTCTAGACTGTTACACTACTGATGCCTTGACTATAAAAACTATTAAAAACTATGATTACACAATGTTAGTCAAGTATTTAAACCACAATATAACAATATCTGTAATGCATACTACAGCAAATGAAGGATGCAGTGAGCTACAAATGTATTCTCCTGCCATTTTCTTAAAACTTTAATTTGATGAGTAGAATATTTTGTATTTTTATCAAAACATCCAGAAAAAAAACCTGTGAGACCAAAGCAGATTTTTACAGTCTGGATTATTTTATGAATAAATGTATAAAGTGCTCAAGGTATGATCTATTTTTGTTAACCAACCCGGAAGTTTGAATCGCCCTGGTTCCTGGTAAAGTAATAAAGACAAAGGAACACCACTTTTATGATTTTTGAAGAGCATGTTTGATTGCCAGAAGTAAAAAGCTAACATTAGGCTAAAAACGAACAACAACACATTAAACTCCTCATTACTGTAAAGTAGTATTCACTTCTTCTTTTTAAAAACATTTATGTCTTGTGTTTCAGGTCCATTTAAGGTCATCATGCCGCAGACTATAGAGGCTCTGAAGGGATCCTGTGTGACCATCCCCTGCTCCTTTTGTATAATGGCCGATTTTAGATCAAACTTAGATGGAACCTGTAAAGCAATGTGGAAAAATTATCAAGGGACTGTTGTGTTTGATAGCAGTAATCCACAATCGTCTACAATAAAAGGAAATTTGACAGGAGACTTAACAAAAAGAGACTGCACCACAACCCTGAACAACATGCAACCTGAACACAGCAACATATATTACCTCAGAGTGGAATGTGACAATCAACTGAAATATAATTTTAATGAACAAAAGTTGAGCATTACATTCAAAGGTATGTTTTAAAGTTATTTACACTTAAGTCATTCATTTCTCATGTAGAACTGCCTTGACCTTGCAATTCATATAAAATATGAAGAAGAATTACATTTTTACTGACTGGTCAAAATGTACCTTCCCACCAGATGATCCTCCCAGACCGACTCTGACTCCGTCCACACTGGAGGTGAAGGAGGGAACCTCAGTGAGTTTGAAGTGCTCTGCTCCAGCTCCCTGTCTGTCTCATCCTCCAACTCTGACATGGACCCCCAGCCTGGGTCACAGTCAGGAGACACTGGAGGAGAATCAGGACAAAACTAAAGTCAAGACCTCTGTTGTGACCTTCACTGCTTCTCACCTCCATCACAGACAGGAAATCTCCTGTACTGCCGTCTACAACAAACAAGATGGCAGCACTGAGTCATCTGTTAGCACAAGTTTAACAGCTGATATTTCATGTGAGTTCATTTTTCCTCTGCTGAAATTCATCATTTTAAACATTATAATTGATCTATGTCCCTTAGTTGTTTTGCCTTATTTTGAATCAGTGCTGAAATAATTAATCAATTCATCCATTCAACATTTTTGTTTTCATAATATGAGGATTTGCTGCTTATGTCTCTTTTATATCATTGTAAACTGAATGTCTCTGTGTTTTTGACTGTTGATCAGGAACCAGGCTATTTGAAGACATTAACTTATCCTCTGGAATATTGGCATTTTATACAGTATGCCAACATTTAATAGACTATATGACTAATAGATCAGTTGTTAAATTACAACAAATTAATCAAAAATAAAAACATTTCATCATTAGTTGCAGCTCTAGTTTAAATGTGAAATCCATCACTTTGGAAAACAGCAACCTCCATGCTCCATTGTGAAGAATTGTCCCCTCTACACTGTTACACTACTGATGCCTTAACTATAAAAACTATTAAAAACTATAATTACACAATGTTAAAAAAAGTATCCACACCACAATATAACAATATCTGTAATGCATACTACAGCAAATGAAGGATGCAGTGAGCTATACATTTAGTCTCCTGCCGTTTTATTGAAGCTTTAATTTGATGAGTCGAAAATTTTGTATTTTTATAAAAACATCCAGAAAAAAAAACCTATAAGACCAAAGCAGATTTTTACAGTCTGGATTTTGGATTATTTTATGAATAAATGTATAAAGTGCTCAAGGTATGATCTATTTTTGTTAACAAACCCGGAAGTTTGAATTGCCCTTGTTCCTGGTAAAGTAGTAATGACAAAGGAACACCACTTTTATGATTTTTGAAGCGCACATTTGATTGCCTGAAGTAAAAAGCTAACATTAGTCTAAAAACAAACAACAACACATAAAACTCCTCATTACTGTAAAGTAGTATTCACTTCTTCTTTTTAAAAACATTTATGTCTTGTGTTTCAGGTCCGTTAAAGGTCATCATGCCGCAGACTATAGAGGTTCTGAAGGGATCCTGTGTGACCATCCCCTGCTCCTTTTGTATAAAGGCCGATTTTAGATCAAACTTAAATGGAACCTGTAAAGCAATGTGGAAAAATGATCAAGGGACTGTTGTGTTTAACAGCAGTAATCCACAATCGTCTACAATAAAAGGAAATTTGACAGGAGACTTAACAAAAACAGACTGCACCACAACCCTGAACAACATGCAACCTGAACACAGCAACAAATATTACCTCAAAGTGGAATGTGACAATCCCCTGAAACATAATTTTAATGAACAAAAGTTGGACATTACAGTCAAAGGTATGTTTTTATGTAATGTTTTATTTATTGCAATTTGCAAATCGTATGATAAATTGAGAAGAATTACATTTTTACTGACTGGTCAAAATGTACCTTCCCACCAGATGATCCTCCCAGACTGACTCTGACTCCGTCCACACTGAAGGTGGAGGAGGGAACCTCAGTGAGTTTGAAGTGCTCTGCTCCAGCTCCCTGTCTGTCTCATCCTCCAACTCTGACATGGACCCCCAGCCTGGGTCACAGTCAGGAGACACTGGAGGAGAATCAGGACAAATATAAAGTCAAGACCTCTGTTGTGAACTTCACTGCTTCTCACCTCCATCACAGACAGGAAATCTCCTGTACTGCCGTCTACAACAAACAAGATGGCAGCACTGAGTCATCTGTTAGCACAAGTTTAACAGCTGATATTTCATGTAAGTTCATTTGTTTGTTTGTTTTTTAATTCATCATGAAACAAATTTAATTGAATTAGTCAAATCTTCTACAAAAGATTAGCAGAAAGGTAATTTTGATGACAATATTTATATATAATGCTTTTTATAAAAAAGAGCAAAAAACATGACAAATAACTTGATTTCCAAATATCAGATTACATTACACCTTTAAATAATACCAAACATTTATTTGTCATTTTTTTGTGTGGAAGTGCAGCAAGAAAGCTGGCTGTTGTTTGATGCCAACTTTCTTTTACAATGATGCTTTACCAGGATCAAAGTGATCAAAGTTAATTCAATCTCCAGGGAACACAGATATTACGACTTGTAACTGACAGTGTAACACATACCAATGATATTTATTTTCAGATTCCCCCAAACACACCACAGTGTCAGTCAGTCCCTCTGGTCCAGTACCAGAAGACAGCACTGTGACTCTGACATGCAGTAGTACTGCCAACCCAGCAGTAAGGACCTACACCTGGTACAGAGATGATGGAGGCCAGGAGACTTTTATTGGGACTGGACGTGTTTTAAACATTAAAGCTTCTGAAGTCAGTGGTCCTTTTTTCTGCAAGGCTGAAAATGATCTTGGAGCTGGACGATCCAACATCAGTCAAATAGACGTTCAGTGTAAGTATCAAATTTCAAACCCAAAAGGCTCTATATACTCTGATAGGTCTAGCTGTATGCAGTACACTGATTTACATATTATAATGTTTTGCCATTGATCAATTTATTTAGATATTTAAGCTCACTATGTTTAGGATTTTAAAATGTCCAACTTTAGCACAACTGAGTATTTAGTAAAAAACAATAGTTTTGCATTCCACCTCACTAGTTCATCCTTTTTAGTCTTCAATATCACACACATGTTAATACAAGCTAGTCAATCATATAATGGTGTCTCTCCTCTTTAACTTGTTAAGTACTAGTGAAGATAGGAAATACTAGTGACCATGTTGTATTATCCAGGTATTTGCACTCCAGGGTCATCAGTTACAAAAAAGTGTTGGCACTGTAACTTTCGAAAAAAATCGTGACATAATCTCACTTCATTATTTCATGACAAATATAAAATCAAATTACACCCATAAAAAATACAAATAATGTTTCCATAATTGTAATAATTTTTTTTTTCAGATTCACCCAAACACACCACAGTGTCAGTCAGTCCCTCTGGTCCAGTACCAGACGACAGCACTGTGACTCTGACATGCAGTAGTACTGCCAACCCAGCAGTAAGGTACTACACCTGGTACAGAGCTGATGGAGGCCAGGAGACTTTTATTGGGACCGGACGTGTTTTAAACATTAAAGCTTCTGAAGTCAGTGGTCCTTTTTTCTGCAAGGCTGAAAATGATCTTGGAGCTGGACGATCCAACATCAGTCAAATAGATGTTCAGTGTATGTATCAAATTTTAAACTTAAAATGTTCTATATACTCTGATAGGTCGAGCTGTATGCAGTACACTGATTTACATATTATAATATGTTTTCATTAATTGACTAATTTATATATTTACGGTGTGTTTAGGATTTAGAAATGTCCAACTTTAGCACCACTGTGTTGTTATCAAAAAATAGATTTTTGCATTCCATCTTACTAGTTAATCCTTTTTAGTTTACAATATCACAAACATGTTAAGATAGATAGATAGACAGATAGACAGATAGATAGATAGATAGATAGATAGATAGATAGATAGATAGATAGATAGATAGATAGATAGATAGATAGACAGACTTTATTAATCCCGAAGGGAAATCAGTTTGTCATAGCAGCCAGGTACATTTAAATACAATAAAATATAACAATAGAATAAAATACTGAGGTAAAAAAGTAAAAAAAAGATAAATAGAAAGATTATAATAAATAATATATTATATATTGTAATATAATAATAATAGTAATATAATTATCATAATAATAATAATAATAATAATAATAATAATAATAATAATATATTGAATAAGTATGATATTTAATATCAACATGGTATATATTAACACATATCACATATGATATGAAGTATATGTTCCACAGGTAGATTTAGTCCAGTTCTGTGACTGTGGATCCAACAGAGGCAGATGAGTTATACAGTCTTATAACAGTGGGGAGGAACGATTTTTCTGTATCGTTCCTTCTTGCAGCGAGGTTGAATGAATCTGTTGCTGAAGCTGCTCTTTAGCTTGTCCAGTGTTGTGTGGAGGGGGTGAAAGGTATTGTCCATGATTGCCAGCAGTTTTGCCAGCATCCTCTCCTCCATCACCTCCTTTAGGGTGACAAGCTTCAAGCCAACAACAGACTCTGCCTTTTTAATGAGTTTGTTCAGTCTGTTGGCGTCCTTTGCCTTGATTCCCGTACCCCAGGACACCGCAGCAAAGAAGATAGTGCACGCCAAAACAGACTGATTAAACATCTGCAACATCCTGTTGCAGACAGTGAGGGACCTGAGCCTCCTCAGGAAGTAAAGCCGGCTCAGGCCCTTCTTGTAGATGGGCTCTTAATTTGTGGACCAGTCCAGTTTATTGTCCAGTGTGACACCCAAGTACTTATACCCCGACACCATATCCACATCAGTCCCACCAATGCTGACAGGAGAGGGCAGGGGCTCGTTCCTCCTAAAATCCACCACCATCTCCTTTGTCTTTGCCCCATTCAGCTGCAGGTGGTTCTCCTCACACCACTTCACAAAGCCGTCGACCAGGTCCCTGTACAAGTAATACAAGCTAGTCAATCATTTAATGGTGTCTCTCCTCTTTAACTAGTTAAGTACTAGTGAAGATAGGAAATACTAGTGACCTTGTTGTATTATTCAGGTATTTGCACTCCAGGGTCATCAGTTACAAAAAAGGTGTCGGCACTATAACTTTAACAGAAAATCGTGACATAATCTCATTTTATTATTTCATGACAAATATAAAATCTAATTATACCTATAGAAATACACATAATGTTTCCATAATTGTAATCATTTCTTTTTCAGATTCCCCCAAACACACCACAGTGTCAGTCAGTCCCTCTGGTCCAGTTCCAGAAGACAGCACTGTGACTCTGACATGCAGTAGTACTGCCAACCCAGCAGTAAGGAACTACACCTGGTACAGAGCTGATGGAGGCCAGGAGACTTTTATTGGGACCGGACGTGTTTTAAACATTAAAGCTTCTGAAGTCAGTGGTCCTTTTTTCTGCAAGGCTGAAAATGATCTTGGAGCTGGACGATCCAACATCAGTCAAATAGATGTTCAGTGTATGTATCAAATTTCAAACTCAAAATGCTCTATATACTCTTATAGGTCTAGTTGTATGCAGTATTCTGATTTACATATAATAATATGTTTTCATTAATTTAGATATTTACAGTATGTTTAGGATTTTAAAATGTCCAACTTTAGCACCACTGTGTTGTCATAAAAAAAGATTTTTGTGTAGCACATGTATACTCTAATACAACTCTATTAATGCTACTGTAGCAGTTCTAGGTTCAACAGAGTGGGGTAACCATACAAAATGAAACCAGAGACCAGGTACTTTAAATACAAAAACCAGCAGTTTACTGAAATTTAACATAGACAATACATATAACAAATATCAGAACCAGTGAATAGTCCTGCAGGTAACAAAAAAGTAAAGTAGAACTCACTTTCCTTTTTTTCCTCACCTAAATTTTAAATAATTTGGTTTAGATAGTTTTTATGTTAGACCAGTCTATAAGTCTATATCTTATTTTATGATAATATGTTGCACCTATTTTTGGTTTCTTTCTATCTCGTGTTAACTCTTTTTTAAGTTAGAAAACAAAAGAATATTTACACCATTTTCAAAAATCTTAGTCAAGTTACACTATA